AAGGGGGCTGCTTGAATGGGTGGGGGTTGGCGAATGTAAGTTTGATCGTGGAGKGGGGGGGGGGGGGGGTTGTTGTTTGGTGCGAGTCTGATACTCATTACCGCTGAAGGATGACACTGCAGAAGTAGCTACCATGCACAAATAATTTCCAAACGACATTTACCAACCTTTGCAGGACTCGCCCCATCTATTTGATTATTTGATGTCAAAGTTTGCGTCCTACATCGTGAGCCACACACTCAATCACCATTAATAGATAGATGGACAGAAACAACTTATTGGAGGGAGTGAGTGTTGTCATCCTTGAATAAAGTTGTTTGAACAGAAACCGTTGATCCAACCGGCTGTCCGGTAGGTCATTGGTCATGGTCAGGTCCTTGACCACTGCACTGTCATTCATTCATAGTTTACCATTTTGTAATTACATAAACAAATATTGATTGATTGTTTGATTATAGACATAGGATACAGGACAGGCTCAAGATGAAAATATCAATTGGATCATCATCATGGACGATGATAGTGATGTTGATCACATTGTTGTCTTTGGTACAACATGGAAATGCCTATACCAGCCAGGATGGTAAGTTGATGTGTTGGCTCACTAAATCGATCAATCAATCAACTCACATTCATATTCAAAACATCAGTTACGGCAGTCAACTGGATAGCTAGTTTGTACGGTGTTGGCTTTGACAACAATAACTTGTGTGGATCAAGAGGTATCACATGTGATGGCTCTAGTAATATTATTGGAGTGTAGGTATATCAGCTGATCCACTATGATTGAATTAGTGTCGTTCTTATTCTCTTTATCCATTTAATATTATCATATAGATCAATTGATTCCAGCTTACCAACTACGACTACAACTACATCAACAACATCATCGAGTCCAACATCGACTACATCGTCAAATCCAACTACATCAAGTTCCTCAACAACCAGTCCAACATCGACTACTACTTCAAACCCAACAACGTCGACTACAACCTCAAATCCAACGTCGGCCACGACTTCCAATCCCACGACCACGACCTCTAATCCAACCACAGGTACTACCACATTCGACCCAACGACAGATAGTTCCACAACTGACCCATCCACCACCACCACCACTGGCACAACAACAACATCTGGCACATCGACTACATCTGGTACGACATCTGGCACCTCGACGACAACTGGTACCTCGACTACATCTGGTACTACATCTGGTACGACTTCGGGTACATCAACTACTTCTGGTACATCAGCAACCTCAACGACCTCGATGCCAACGACTGCGACAAGTACAACAGACTCTGGAACATCAACGACATCGATGCCAACAACAGGTACCTCCACAACAACAGGCACAACAGGTACTTCCACAACATCAATGCCAACAACAGGTACCTCGACAACAACTGGTACAACAGGCACCTCGACAACATCGATGCCAACAACAGCTACCTCGGCAACAACTGGTACAACAGGCACCTCGACAACCTCGATGCCATCAACAGGAACCACATCGGTGCCAACATCTACATCGACAACATCAATGCCCACCACTGGTACAACAACATCAATGCCAACAAGTACCAGCACAACATCATTGCCAACAGCCACACCAACATCCACGGTAATTGGAACGGACTTTAACGCTATCAAGGTTCAACGCAAGTACCTGGGTACCACCGTTTCCTCCCCGTACACCTTGGATACCTTACAGACTCTGTAAGTTATACTATTAGATGGCTGGTCATCAACCCAACCCTGACACCTATCCAACAATAGTGACATTAGCTTAGTGCCTTTGAATAATGCAGTGTTCATTTTGAATCAATTGAACTCTGCAGGTTTGAGCTCAATCAAATTGTCTTACACTGCATCCAGTCCACTGGCATTCACAGCTGACTTGGTCACTGCATTCCCAAACCTTGTCTCATTGTAAGTTGTAATAGTTGAGCTGAAAGATTCATACTCAATGTTCACATAACATAAATCAATCAAACAAAGGAACTTAACTGGAAATGTTATCTCTGGAGAGTTGCCAGTGTCCATGTTCAAGCATTCCAAACTACAGACTCTGTATGTAATTAATTGCCAATCATTGATCCTTTACCATACTAATCAATCAATAAATCAATCAAACATAGTGAGCTGTCTGGTAACACTGTAGCCACCAATAACATTGACTTTGGATCTGCTCTTGGAAATATTCTGACTCAGATGTAGGTCTTCAACCTGATCGATCAGTATCAAACATTATTAACATACATGTATTGTTGTTGGAATTACTCATTATAGGTCATTGATAATCAGCAAGGATGCGACATTCGCTACTCAAGCACTCCCAAAAATGAAGGCATTGTAAGTTGGACCAAGGCACGTTCACGGATAGTCCATCCAATAATACTTACACCTTTCATTCCCAATCTATCAATCAATGAATGAATGAATGAATAGGACTTTGTACTTCAGCCAAGCTCGTGTACTGAATGTCAACCTCAATAACTTGCAGTCATTGTATGTATCCATTCGACTCCGTGATCTAACATAATCCAGACTCTAACTTCTTATACAGGACACTCAAAGGATCACCTGCCAAGCCTAATGTGAACTTGGGCTTCACATGCCAGTCACTCACCAGCTTGAGTATTTCCAGCTCTAATCCAATAGTGAACAGTGACCTTAGAGCATGCACCAATCTCACTGACGTGTCACTCAATTCCAATGCTGCACGTACGTCACTGCTCTTTGTTCAATATCCACCAAGTTTGATCAACTAGTAAGTAATCAATCAATGTGATGTGGTCCAACCCTGGAGGTCAAGGAATATACTAACTGATAGATAGTGCTGAGACCCAGACATCAATCACTGGATCACTACCAACTGACATTAAGAATATTACCACCTTGCGATTGGTTGGTGATCAGCTGAATGTCAATGCAGCCACAATCAAATATACCAAGCTACAATTGTTGGACTTGTCTTCAAACAATATTGCTGGCACAACACAACCTGAGCTATGCACCAACTGGAAGGTCAACCTCAAGTCCAACCCATTGACCGATGTGGCCGACTGCTTCAAATGCTACTACGCCTACACCAAGGATTGGTTGCCCACCATCTCCAACACAACTGGATCAAATTGCGGTATGCATATATGATTGATTGATCTATTGATTGATTGATCACTAACTAATATATATATACATTACACACCTTAGCCTTGATCAATAATATGTACAGTGGATACCCTGTATCAAATGGAGGCATTGTCACTATACAAGGACAGAACTTGGGTTGGGGTGGCAGTGATGCATCCAAGGAACTAACAGTCATTGTTCCAAACACCTTGTTCTCCTACCGTGCACCAGCTCAGTCATCAGTTGGAACAATCATTCAAACTGTCAGCTTTGCAACAACCATCGCCAAGGACATCACACTCATCTACAAGAGTAAGTTGAATGAACTCCCACATGTATAGCCCTCATCCACTCACTTACTCACTCAATCAATCATTCACCTAATAGCCATTACTGGAGTAACATTTGATCAACAACCTAGTGGAGTCAATGTGACGATCCAGGGACTCAACCTTATTACATCTACATTCAAGGTTGGAGGATTGACTTGTACCGTCTCAGTTCAGACTAATGAGACTGTTGTTTGTTTGGTCTCATCAGCATTGGTCGAGGGTGATGTACTTATTGTTGCCTCGGACAATGTGTTTGGTGACACATCGGTCACTCGCGGCTACATCCATCGTTATCCTCTAGTCCGCTCAATCTCACTGATTGGACAGGATGGTGGCCAGGTATCATTCTATGGTAACTTCTCAGCTCGCTCTGGTTCCATTACCAACATCACAGTGGATGGCGTGAATTGTCCGACAGTCTCAGTGGCATCCGACTTGTTGGTATGCACATTGGCACCAACCAAGTCTGTTGGCACGGTCAACTTGAACATCACAAATGATGGCTATAGATTCGACACACCACTGCTCTTCCACATCACGCCAGGCAGCCTCCAATGTCCAGATGGCTGTGGCCCTGGTACTTGTGTGATGGGAATTTGCCAATGCCCCGCTGACTCCTACGGCCCCAAGTGCGCCTACAAGTTGCCCACCGAGACTGCACACCGCAACGACAATGACACAGCACCTGGCACAACATACTTGTACAAGGAGGTTCAGTACGAGTTTATTGTGAGGGCCATCCAAGAGGTCGACTCTGAACTGCAGATTGTGCATGAGGAGTTGCTGGGCGGCTGGTCTCTGACCACATCGGACACTGACACCCTCCTCTCCAACTCGTACGCGCTCTCCAATGTTAATGGAGCATCGATCACCGCCACGATGGAGGTGAACAAGGTTCCAAGGACTGTCAGCTTTGCCGGCATCACGCGTGATCACTCGGCCTACACAGTCAAGGGATCGCTCAAGATCAGTGGATGGCAGTTCCGCAAGTCGACCAACATCATTCGCGTGGTCGTCGCCACCTCGTCGGCATTGACGCACAACGCCGACACTTGTGGCGAGGAGTCGCAGAACCTTGGCGTGGACGAGCTCAACAACCTCAACTACCTGCTGCTCGAGAGGAATGGCGTGGCCTTCTACGGTCGCTTCATGAACCGCTCGCTGTCTGACGGACGTCCAACATTCTCGGCCACAACGCTACTCAACCAAACACTGCAGGCCGATGGTACCAACGTCACATACGTCGGTGTCTCACTGCCTCAGTGTGCCGAATGCATACTCGACCCGGACTTTAGTGTCCTGGTCAACCCAGAGGTCAACCTCAACAATCCATGCAATCGTGATAAGAGTTCCAAATCATGGATCGTGCCAGTGGCCGTAGTTGTGCCTCTGGTGGTCCTGTGTTCTTTGGCCATCGCCGGATTCTTCTTCCTCAAGCGCCACTACTACATAACGCACGAAGGTATCCGAATCAAGTTTACCTCGCGACGTATGTCATCTCGCAAGATGTCACTTAGGAAGATATTCGTAAGATCTTAGAATACCCTACTCCTCCCTCACTCAATGTATCAATATCATTCACTTCACTTCACTTCACTTTACTCAATCTCTCTCTCTCCATTGTCAATTAAATAGACATTATCTATCTTCCTTATTAGCGTTAATAACAATAATTATCTTTATCTGTTTGTTCATTCATTCAATGTGAGTTTCACGAAAGATGAATCTTTGAAGATCTTGAGCCTTTGACACAATCTTCATTTTATTTCAATTATTACTTTGACGAACAAGACGAATAACAAGTAATAACAACATGTCAAAGGCAATCATTGACTCATACGTAGATAGTAACAGCGATGATGCTACAAAGACTGATTCACTCAACCTCGTCTTGTTGTGTATGTTCAATCAAACATAATCGATGATCTAACATCAATCAGTCAACTAATCAATCATATCAATCATATCAATCAATCATAATAGATGTGAACTCTGGCAAGTTGACTATACAACAGATGGTTGAAGATCTTGGAGATCATTTACAGAGTACAGATACATTGACTAGAGCTAGAGGCACTCTGTTGTTGTCAGAGGTGTTGTGTAGGCTACCTCAGTTGAAGTTGAATGAGGGTCAGGTACATTTCCTATCAATGTTCTATTATGATCGTCTTAAAGACTTTGCCTGTGCATCAGAGGTTGTTAAGGGTGTGTTTGGACTGGTGATCAATCACAAGGTGCCCTATCCCAACAATCAGAAGATACTACGCGCAATCTTCCAAGAGGTCCATCCGACCACTCTAGCCCAAACACATCGCAAGATGGTACTTCAGATCATTGACTTTATGTTACTTCATAACCTTGCTGGTATGTCCCATCAATCAACTCGATCAATCACACACATCCTCACTCTCATCAATCAATCAATCAATCAGAGGTACAGGAGCTAAAGGGCGACTTCATGTCTGGATTCATTCAGTTCATTGACAATGAGAAGGATCCAAGGAACCTTATATTCACATTCATGCTCATACCAAAGGTGATATTGTACATACCAGAGTACAAGAGCTTCGCAGACTCACTGTTTGAGATCATCTCATGCTACTTCCCAATATCATTCAATCCAAAGCCAGGTGATCCAAACGGTATCACCAAGGAAGCTCTTGTAACTGCATTGCTGTAAGCTTCATTGGCTCAATCAATCACTCGCTCGCTCATTCACTTACTCACTGATCCAATCATACCATACATATAGTAACTGTTTCTCAGCATCAACATTCTTTGCCGAACACTCAATACCATTCTTAATCGATAAGATATGCTCTAATGTTGTGGATACAAAGGTTGAATCATTGAAGACATTGACATATTGTTGCGATAAGTATGGTCCTGTGACCATCAGACCATTCCTCGAGGATATTTGGAGTACATTGCGATCACAGATACTCACACAAAAGAGTGCCATTGTCATTGAGGAGTCCAAGAAGACTATATTCTACCTCACGAGGAACATCTCGTCCGACCCCGAGACCCTTGAGTCCTTCCTCAAGATGATCGACAAGGAGTGTCTGCATCACATCAAGACATCTCAAGACTCAAAGATCGCCGTCAGCTGTGCTTCCATCCTCTTCCAGACCATCAGCTCATGTGGTACGTACCCTCCATTCATTCATTCAATCCATCAAAGTTATTAACAACATTAACATAGTCAAGGCATCAAGGATTGTACTGTCGCATGTACTGCCAGAGCTGATGGACTTCTTCCAGGAGCTTGCTCTTCAGCTGTCTGATGATCCAATCCACAAGTCGAATGAACAGTTGTCAGTGGTCGCACTATTCAATGATATATTCAAGGCGAACAATATCTCATTCCTACTCCATCATCAACATCAACATACAAGCGGCGATGAGATCAATCCAATTGAGAAGTATGAGGACAGACTTTACAAACTGTTGATTGGATTGCTATCCAACTCATCATTGTCAGTGCGTACACTTGCCGTAGACTGTTTGGCAAACCTCTACATCTCCCAACTCAAGCACAGCTCACCTCCCACATTCGTCCTGTCACAGGACAAGCGACAGGACATCATCAAGAGTCTCATTGCATTCCTCAACGACTCTGATGACAAACAAAGGTATGTTGTATCCTTGTCCCACATCAATCATAGTGCTACACTAACTTGTAACATACTACCATCTAGAGAGAAGAGTCTTGAAGCTCTGATGTCAATCACAAAGCTTGAGCAAGTGGAGCAGATGAACAACTATGCAATCCCCACACTGCTTCAAATGATCAATGTCAATCAATCAAAGAGTGTCAAGGAGAGCAAGCACTACCTTGAAGCTTTCTCAATGCTCTGCACCCATCAGCCACTCCTTCAGAGTGTCATCCCTCAGATCAAGACTCTGTTGAATCACAATATCAAACAACAATATACTTCAGAAGGTATGTGGAGTGGAGGCAGGACGGACAATCATGTGTCGACACTAACATACTAACAATCAATCAATCAACAGAGGAGTTCCAGAACTGTCTGTTGGTCGTGGAGAACTTGGAACATACATTCGCCAAATCAATTGATGAGCAAACAATGACGTTGTGCTACCGTGATATCCTGTTCCCTTTGATCAAGGAGTTATTTGAACAAGTCTTGCTTCCATCCACTACTGGCAGCTCAGGCGCAAACATTGGACACAACAATAAGATAATGACACCCTCGCTCTCAATGATACATGCAATCATTCAGAATACATCCAAAGAGTATGTTATATATCCATCCATCCATGTTAAATCCATCAACTCACTCACTCACTCGTTGTCATCACAACACCTTTAGTACTCAGAAGGAGGCCATCGATAGAATAGTTGACCTGTATCTCAATGGAAACATCAATGGTGTGCTGCAATTGAATGTAGACTTCCATCCTTTCAATGCAGGCGCACCAATCTCTCAACAATCACTCATTCCCATATTCACAACAATCATCTCTCAGGCAAAGTTTGACATTGGATCGTCCAACCTTTTGCTCAAGGAGCGTCTGTTGGCAGTGTCGCTCGACAGCAGCGTTGACTCGTCAATCTCAAATCATTGTGCTCGTTGCTATGCATCCGTTCTAAACAAACAGGTTGATGCCAATGTCGACATGGACTACGTCAACAATAACTTCATAGCGAAACTCTCGACGCCATCGAAGCTACAGGCGATGAATGCACTTGTGTGGCTGACCAAGGCATTTGTGACCAATGGCAATCCGATCAACATCACCCTGGGCAACACACTCGCACAGCTCATCTCCAACAAACAACAGGACGCACAGATCTCACAGCTGGCGGCCAAGTCATTCAACAACATCCTGGCAGAGGATCACGAGCTGTTCAGTCAGCATTCGGGCGCAGTGATCAAGATACTGCACAAGCAGAAGTTCTTTGCCATTATGTTCCCAACACTGTTGGAATCATTCAAAGAGTATCAGCAATCAAACAATGTTGCCATATCATCACAGTACTTGGTGGCCATTACCAACATGCTGAGGAATGTGCCCAAGGAGGTGTTGTTGAGCGAGCTCACCGAGGTGCTACCAATCGTATTGCACTCACTTCAGTCGAACCAAGCCGACCTACTCAACTCCAGTCTTCAGACACTGTCCATGTTGGTGGAGGAGGCGCCAACTTCACTCTCCTCGCACATCGACTCACTCATTCCAACACTAATCAGGATATCCACGACTGGCGAGTCATTGGTAAGTACTTGTCCACACGATCACATTCACACATTCAATGTGTTGTTGCTAACTCGATATCAAATATCCAACAGAACTTTAGGAAATCAAGTCTTGAAGTACTTACCAGGATATCAAGGGACATTGCCTATCCAAAGATATACCCATTCAGGAATCAGGTGATCAATGGAATAGTACCATGTCTGGATGATAAGAAGAGATTGGTTCGTAAGGAGGCCACCAGGTGCAGAAACAGTTGGTTTATTCTACAAACGAACAATTAAAGAATGATCAACCATCATGATCTAGATGGTGGCGTAGTCTGCGATTCGATAAAGTTTTGAACTATGGGAAGGAGAGTTAGAATGGATGGATGATGTTTGAGTAAGCTGGCGAGTGACATACCTTGAATGAGTATACATGCCAGGTCAGTTGCACTCTTGTAAACATTCTTACGAAGTGAATGGTTCAGGATGTTGACCTGAGGTGGGCGTACACTGGACAATGCTTCAGCATACTTGTCAAGTGCAAACATAATGGAAGTGGATTCTTGTTGTGCTTTCTTGTGAATATGATTGGATAGTAATGTTTCCAACTCGCCACTGTTGTCTATCTTGATGAAATGATTGGTGTCATCGTCCAACAACTGTGCCAGACCATATAGTATATCCTGACCTTGTTTCCTCATCGATTGGAATACAAAGTCACTCTCATTAATGACTATAGTGGCCAGACTACTTCTACGTTGATCAACGTTGTCAACAAAGAAGTGATAATAGAAAGGTGAAGATTGGTTGTCATCCCAATCCAATCCATCGTTGAATGGTAAGATTGATATTAATGTTCCAACATTCTTTGTGTTGCTCACATCGATAGAGTATTGTTCGCTATGTATTATGGGTGCATTGGATAACCTTGATACATGTTGAAGTGATACAATGTTGATTCGTTTGAATACCAACATATTGGCGAGATTGAGATAGTGCAACACTATGTTGTCCACCTCGCCAGATGTGATCAAAGTATTGACTCCATTCTGAACCAAGCTGTCAACCCATCTCTTGATTGCTCGTTCCTCCTCATGCTCCCATGACAACAGATTATCAACAGTCTCGAACTTTAACTCCATTTGTAACGACTGTGATGATCGTTGCTTATTGATATCGATGCCAAAGAGTATCAACTTGACATCATTGGGCATTGACTTCCTCACTGACGCTGGCCTACATTTTGCCACCAAGCCACTCTTGACGCTAACGCGTTCTTGATGTTGTTCATTCTCCACAACACCTCTCATTCCTTTGACAAACGTAATGCTGGACAGACGTGTAGACCAGTCATCCTTCCGCAGAATGTTCAATGCTTGACATATTGCAATGGTCATTGTTGTTGGGTCACTGTCGATGGCATTGCCAACAACGAGTCCATTGTCTACTAGGAACATTGGAGTGATTATGTCGTCTTTGGGCAACAACTTGATAGAGTGACTTGGTAAAGTGTCCATTAGTTGATTGATCATCAACAAACCAGACTTGTATCCATTGACTATTAAACTGGTGTTTAAGCCTTTGTTTACAAGTGTGACTGCATGTCTTAACAACTCTGTTGCCAACATTACTATCAATGTTAGATCATCACTCTTTGCAATACTCTGTTGTTGTAGTTGTTGACCACTGCTGCTTAATAACAACCTCTTTATGAATGATGCAACTGGATGATCAACATCAATATACTTTAATATAATATATGAATCTGAAGTCACTACAACACTTTAGGTCGTTTATTATAATCAGTCATTCATTCATTCATTCACATTCATTCATTCAAATAAACAAACAACAACATACGATCGATGTGACTTGTCAACTAGTATCTTTGATATGTGACATGATGTTTTGTTGTTGTTATTGATGTTGCTACAAGGTATCAAACAATCTGCTATTGATGAGAGTACTAATAAGTTTGTCTTTATTGTCTCAAGGTAGTTCATTATATAAATCTCTCTCTCTCTATCATATCTCTCTATCTCTTTTCGTTTTTTAATAGAGTGAAGTTGACTTTGACAATAATGTCAGAAAGAATGAACGTGGTTATTTTAACGATTTATGGGTAAACAAGACTTGGAGATCTAAGTGTGTTGTTGTAACTTTACTTGTCCGGATCACCGGAATGGAAATAAGAATGCGTTGATGTCATCTTAAGGGGGTGTCAGACTCAAGACATTTGTTTATTTTGTTTTTTTCTCTCGTGATCAGGGAAAATGAGTGCCAATAAATGTCGACATTAGTTTATTTATATATTTTCATGGTTAACTTAAATCAACATATTCGTGTGTGTGTCATTCATTCTCTTTCGTATTTACTTAAGTGTCAACAACACAGTAATATTAACACACAGATACACTCACACAAATACACGTACACGTACTCATATATATAAGTACAAAATACAACCTTACCTTATGTGATATCACATTTATATTTATAAGTTATGAACAACCTATTTAATTTTAGTGGATATCAAAAAATCAATTATAATAATATCATGCCTTTTAACATAAAGAGATTACTTCTTGTTCTTTGTTTCATAAATATTATATTCTTATTCTATATAATATCATATAATAATATTTATAGTAATAATAATTGTTATGTTCAACAACAATCCAATGTAGTCAATAGTAATAATAATAATAATATTAATAATAATAATAATAATAACAACTTACTTTATAATCATAACTTTGAATTCAATGCAGTTGGTTGGAGAGAATATGGTAGATATTTTCGTCTTGGTTACTTCCCTGTGCCCTCGCCAGAGAGTGAACCATCGCGACATGTGGTGGCAATCTATCACAGTAACAATCAACAGTGGAATGGGCTGTTCCAGCCTGTTGACCTGCGCCGTCACACATCATTCCATGGAATGGGCTATTACGAACTTCGCCTTGACGTCGACTACATCAATCTCAACTTGAACGGCAGTCTCAACCTAAAGATGCGCATAAACACTCGTGAGAACGAACCCCAAGATCTCAACGACACGAACAACGTATTCACTGTGTTCAATGACAATGGCAATGGACATCATTTATTGCCGGACCTTAATGGCGGTGTGCCAATTGATGTAAAGGATAACATTACTACATTCTTGGACATGCATCAGAATGACATGGACTCAATCACCTCACGTGCATCATTGGTCATGTACTCAAAGAAGCCCCTCAACTACGTCACCTGCTACATATACACCGAGCTGACTGGCGTCGCACTCATCACCAACACATCATTCACAGTCACACATGTCAATGATAAGCTCACACCAAGCGTCACGATGAACCTGCCGAGATTCGAGGGTCAGAACATTACAAAGGTGTCTGAGAAGATTGGCGAGGAGTTCAAGATGAGGGACTTGACTTGGGAGAAGCGCATTGTGACACCATTCTACAAACGATCGACCTATCACTTTGACAGGCACACCGACACTACAATCACTGCACAACTGGACATCACGAGATTCCCAAGATTGTTGCAGTTGTGCCGTCAATGGGATGGCCCCATGTCTGTGGTCATCTACATCAAGGAGGAGAAGGACGTCAGGGAGCTGGACAGGATGATCTTTGAGAACTGGGAGATTGCAAAGTTGATGGACAAGGCTGATGTTCATCTGGCATACAAGACGAAGGATGAGCGATTCTATCCGATCAATGAGTTGCGCAATGTTGCCATCGAGTTCAGTCGCACCAACTACATCTTCACAATCGATGTGGACTTTGTCGTCTCGCCAAATCTGAACAATCACATCCGAGAACAGCTGCACGAAGCCAACTATCCAACCAACATCTTTTTCGTTGTGCCAGCAATGGAAATGGATGGATACGCAATGAACAACACCGATATCTTCCCAATGAACAAGTCATCACTGGTCCAACACATCAAGGATGGCGAGGCAAGATCAATCTTGGAGTTGGTCTCGCCCGAGGTTCAAGGCCCAACAAAGGTGGACGTTTGGGTGAACTCGACCAAAGCTTACGACGTGAAGTATGGCCCACATTGGGAGCCATTTGGAGTAATTCATCGCTCGGCCATCGGGTTTGATCAACGCTTCGCCGGCTACGGCTGGGACAAGGTGTCCCACATCTACTATCTTCATCTGCTTGAGTTCAGGTTCATGGTGCTACCCGAGGCATACATGATACACATGGAGCACGCGACGCGCTCCAGTTGGTTCAACAGATCAGCAGCAGAAGAGGAGTATATTTTCAAGAACTGGTACGAGTCAGTCACAGAGTTCACCTTCAAGTACCTTCCCTCTCTCTTCAATCCCACCGACTTGAAGAAAGTATCAACGTTGGTACATGACAATGATTGGCTGGTTTGATTGATATATACTGACATTTATAATAAAAATAATAATACAAATATAAGTTAACTTCTTGGGTATTATTATACCTTTACTATTTTAGGATATAGATGTGTCATTATCAACCTTGTCTGATTTTCTACGGATTGTCCATGATTTTTTAATTTAACCGCAATCCGAATCTACCTAGATTCGGTCAACAAGACAAACAATCTAGATCTAGAATCATAATCCTGGTAATCAATGTTAGTTTTGTTGAACTACACAGACTATTTATCTTAGTATTTAAATGAGACACCTCACAAGCACAAAAAACAACAAGCTAATTGAAAAACTCAAAAAGAAGACGTTGCAACCATTCTTCGTCATTCAGTATTTAGTATCAGTAATATATAAATGTGGAACAAGTAATCTTTTATTCAGATATATAATTATATATTGGTTTAGTTATTTATTAATTAATGTTATCTTCAATATTGAACAAAAAGAATATTCTAATTAAAGTAGGACTTTTATTTGTATTTATAATAACATTATTGATATTATGGAGTCCACTACTACAACAACAAGATACATTGACTAATAATGTTGACCATAGCAAGGATAACTCCAAACCCGATGATGATCAAGATCAACGACAACAACAACAATCACAACAACCACTATTATTTCTATTTGCAACACCTGAATGGGGAACACCAACATGGAGACAGGGCAATTATAGTTGTGGAACGAACCGTACTGTTTTGACTACGACCTACGAAATGTCAAGTTTGAAGCAGGCCAATGGTCTATTCTACTTCGCATCGGACATGACGGAGGGATCATCATATTCGAATGATCAGTGGAAGATCAAACTACCTTCACCAGACAAACAAATCACAGTGATCTATGGGGTGGAGTCACCTCTCAATCCCTATGGCTATTGCTTTAGGACACCAGGATGTATTGAGTACTTCAACTGGACAATAGGATACATGCCTCGACCATTCAATGACCTAAGAGAGTCATATTTTCACACCGAGGACTATGACAAGTTCCTCGCACAAGAGCTGGAAACTCCATTCAACTTTCAAACAAATGTAATGGCGAGCAAAGAGCCTGGTAAAGTGGCATCGTGGCTCAATAGTCAATGTGAAGCACTGAATGGCAATGGAAAGGACAGTGATCGAGTAGAATTCATGCGAAGAGTCATGTCCAAGATCCATGTCGACAGTTATGGATCATGTATACACAACGCAAACATGCCTCCTGGTGGAGATCGTGGCGGACATGACATATTCGAGGCCAAAATCAAGGTGATCAAGAAGTACAAGTTCTACTTTGCCCTAGAGAATAGTAACTGTCCTCATTACATCACCGAGAAGGTACTCCATTGTCTGTTCAATGGTGTTGTGCCAGTGTACCTGGGTCACGAGACCACATTGCAGTACATGCCACCTGGATCATATATATATGCTAAGGACTTCAACTCAACGCAGGACCTGGTGGATAGGCTGAACTACCTCGATCACAATGATACAGAGTATCGAAAGTACTTTGCATGGCGCGAGGATATCAACGTGGTCAAACAATGGTCTTCAGCATTCAGTGTCAACGATCCCATGTGTGACCTCTACCGTCTGTACACACAGTTCCAGAACAACATGGATACCTTCCCCAGGAAGCACGCCTCTGCTGATCCAGAGATAGTATTATGTCCACCAGCATACGATCYTTATTAAATAATAAAGTTGGATCAATTGATTGATTGACCTTTATATCTTAAGAGAAGAATGAGTTCATTGCATCCCACATCATCTGGGTTTCAGTTGGTTGAGCGGTGGATAGGAAGTCCAGGACCCAGACACTGACACCGCGAAGACCTAACTTCTTGGCCATCGACACTTTGATTGATAGTGACTCGGGGTTGTCATACCAAACTTGGTTGAGCTGACCACTCTCCAACATGTAGTTGAAGAATGGCGATGACAGCTCATCAGACCATAGCTCTCCCGTTGAGACGAGAGATTGATTGGCTAACATTTCGACGATTTGACTATAGGGAAACTGCTTTCCAGCTGCATCACTGCAGTTGACGCCGAGGAATGGCACCAAAGCAATGGGACAGACAATGGTGTCGATGCTCAACGAGTCGCCCAAGCATTGGTATGTGTATCCGTACCATGGCACGGCCATCACCAGTTTGTTGGCGGGCACACCAATGTTTGTAAAGTTGATCATTCCCTGGGTGACGAGGTCCAGTGGCGAGTTGGCTGATGCCGTGCATTGATCACTAAACACTTGGCTGCGCAGATCATAGTCCATCACGACGAGAAAGTCGGTCGCCTGCGACAGTCCGAAAAAGTCGTAGCAACGGCCATCTATGCAGTTGGGCGACCAGGAGACGTCGGCCGTCACCTGGTAGTTAGGGTTCACCTGTTTGAACTCGTAGGTGGTCTGTGCGATAAAGGCCGTGAGCAGGGCGCTGGTCAGGGTCATGTTGGGCCAGATAGGGTCCTCAATGTCAAAGTTAATGCCATCAAAGTTGTTCTCCTGTACCCATTGTATTTGCTGTTGGATCCATTGCTCTTGCGCTTGGGTATTGCCCAGCTGATCGATTGGGAATGCGACACCATTGACCAAGCGCACATTGTGGCTGTGTGCCACACATAACAACTGTGGGTCAATGTTATAGTATACTCCTAGAGTTGTAAGATGACTCCAATCGAACTGTTCATAGTTTGGTCCAGTCGTGAAGCCTAAGAACTCTTGTCTAGGTCCAACCGTCAGAGGTTGACATAATGAGGTATCTGAGCAAGGACATGCTGCTGCCGCCGCCGCTGCTGCAACAACAGTGTGTGACATTGTTATCACAACAACAACTATAAATAACAACACTTGTTTCATCTTTAGTGTATTTATTTATATATATATATATTTAGTAGAGATAATATAGTTTAAACTCTTTTAAATTGATTGAATGAATTAGGAAGGAGTGATTGTGTTTGAGTGGGGTGAACATAAATTGAAATTAAATGTTAAAGTTAGTTAATTTAGAGTTGAATGTCTTCAAGAATAGATATTTTGTTCAGATCGATCATTACAGTCATTGCAAAGTGTAAGTGAGGTCAATGTCCTAAAAAGGAATAAGTCGGGTTGACATCATGTCCAAACATGATAACTTCGCCCCCACTTCAAAAAACTAAAACAAGTTGACAGTCAACGTCTGTCTGACTTATTCATTGTTTTCTAGTTGTAGCATTCATGTTGTACAGATAAAGATAAAAATAGATAGATAGATAGAATATATAATATTATAATAGAAAGAGAAGATGAGGATCATGAATATAATAGCCAGTACAGCAACAAGATATAGGATATTGATAGGTGTTGTTTTGTTACTTTCACTATATCTCACTGTTTCATGGATAGTACTATCTGACAACAACAAGGAGACAATCGTAATAGATACAATAGAGGCAACACCTCACACAGCGGCACCATCTACAAACAGCAACAACAACGATTACAATTTTAAACATGGCAATGACTCTGTATTGTTCTTGTTGGGCAATAATGAATGGGGCAAACCATCTTTATATGAAGGCTTTAGCAAGTGTGGACACGATCGTAATGTGCTCGAGTTTACATACAACAGGTCGCGCATCAATGAAGCGGATGGCATCTTCTACTTTGCCTCGGACATTGACACGTTTGCACCAACTGGCACCTGGCAGGTCAACATGCCACACCCTGACCGCCAGGTCAAGGTGTTGTTTGGCGCCGAGTCGGCAGCCAACAAGAACGGCTTTTGCTTTGGCAAACCCAGCTGCATCGAGTACTTCAACTGGACGATCTACTTCCTGCCTTATCCACATTCAGATATCATTGAGTCATATCTATACAAGCCCGATTTCGACAAGTTCTACGCACGCGAGCTCGAGTCACCATTCGACTTTGAGGGCGCAATGCAGTTGAAGGAGCCTGGTCGTGTGGCATCGTGGTTCACCACCATTTGCAATGATCCGGATTCTCCAACCGAGGATGAGGGCGAGCGCGTCAAGTTCATGCGCCGCGTCATGAACAAGATGCATGTCGACAGCTATGGAAGGTGTCTACACAACAAGGATGAGCCACCCGAGGGAGGGCGATATAGCAGCAAACGAGACGAAATCAAGATACAGGTGATGAAGACATACAAGTTCAACTTTGCACTGGAGAACACAAACTGTCCATATTACTTCACGGAGAAGGCTCTGCATTGTTTGATGAATGGTATCGTGCCCGTGTATTTAGGCCACGAGACAAATTTGCAGTACATGCCACCTGGATCATATATATATATTAAGGATTTCAAGAATATCGATGCTTTGGTCGAAAGACTACATTACCTGGATCACAATGACACAGAGTATCGAAAGTATTTTGAATGGCGAGAGAATCCAGAGACATTAAGGAAATGGGGCGATGTATTCTATAAGAACAATGCATTGTGCGATCTCTATTCCCTATACATCAAGTTTAGAAAAAACATGGATACCTTTCCCCGGAAGCATGCCACTGCCGATCCAAACTTAATTACTTGTCCACAAGCATTTAAATCAATCGAATAATAATAAGACCAACTCAGTTACCATAAGTCCAACAAATATTATTATTATTCCACAAGTAGTAGCAATGATAAGGATTTAATATTATTTTATTGATTGATTAATTGATTGGATTGAGACTGGGTGTGTGATTGAGTGGACACCAACCACATCCAATCAATCACAAATAATTATTAACTTCTCCTTGTACTTGTGGTTGTTACCTTCAATGGTAACTCATACCTATCCTTGGTTAACATTACCATATATAGGTAACATTACCATAATCTTCGACATTCATGATTTAGTCTACTCCTTCTCATTGTTTTTTTTATGTTATTTTATTATTCCATATTGTAATACAATGGCCAATTATTATTATTCAATAATTTTATTATTATTTACTTTAGTTGTATTATCCAATTGTTTGGATAGAGACCAGACATTGGCTAATCCTTTATCATTATCTGCTTATGTTGATAAATATTATTATACCAAACAATTAGAGTCATCAACATCATGGTCACTAATACCTGTGAATGGTGAAGATAATGCAATCACAATTGATACCATGTCCTATGGCACAAATAACATATCATTGATAAAGATGGTACCTTTCAAAGATGTGATAGTCTATGGAAGAGTGGAATATGACCACCAAGTAACGCTATATGCAAGGTTTGTAATCAAACATGTCTTCCAGGTGCTCCCATTGACCTCTGAAGATGCGTCTGTTCGCTCCGGAAACATATACTTCATTGAGAAGACTAATGAGTAAGTGTAGAGTCATACCATGCTCTCTTGTCTTTCTATCCTAACGATTCAATTATGTTATAGAGCCAGTTATGAAGCCAACTTACTTAATAGAGTAAATGAAACAGTGAAGACAAGAGGTCTTACTGAGCCTTACACAAGCTACTCTCACTTTGATGGCAAGTGGATGTACAGGCTGTTGTTCAGCACCAAAGAGCCTTTCAAAGCATTGCTTCAGGCAAAGATAATCAATGACACTATTGTTGGCACGGCCATCTATGTGAACATTGCCGAGCCGCCATCTGAATGTCCGCCATTGGTTGAAGGTTTTTGTGTCAAAGGATATGTTCGCGTATATGATAGACGTGCCAATCGGTGTATACACTATGATGGGTGTACCAAGTCTGGTCCATGCGTCGATGACATTCCAATATGTGTTCCAGGCTACGATCTAGTATCGATACCATCACGACCAAATGGTTGTAACATGTATTATTGTGATCCATCATAATGAATGAAACAATGATATTGAAGATCATCAATGAATGAGAAAGTTGAAATCGAAATTGAGATTAACATTCACACCTTCTCAATTGATTATTATTCATTCATTCATTTGCGCGCGACACGACACTTAATAAGTTATAACAACTTTGATACATATACAACTGTATCAATTAGTTAGTAGTAGAAGTAGTAGTAGACAAGTACGTACTCATATAGATCTAATATATAATGCCAAAGATAAAGACAAAGAGAACGAAGAAGGCACCTGTAGGATGGGAACTCATTTCACCTACACTTGACGAATTCAATCAAAAGATGAGAGATGGTATGTTCAAACAATCAAGCGTGTCTAAAGATGATGTAGATACTCTACAACAATGTCTAATACATGTACCTTACTTACTCATCCATAAACTACCACTACAACAATAACAACTTTGTTACATTGATGTACCTTCAACAATCGATAACTGTTAGCTGAAAATGAGCCACATGAAGGAAAGAGAAAGACAGAGATAATGTGGCCAATATTTAGGATACATCATCAACAATCGCGATATATATACGAGATGTTCTATAAGAAGAATGAGATCACTCGAGAACTCTATGAGTATTGTCTGAACGAAGGTCATGCTGACAAGAATCTGATCGCCAAGTGGAAGAAGAACGGATACGAGCGACTGTGCTGTCTGCCCTGCATTCAAACCAAGGATCACAACTTTGCCACATGTATCTGTAGAATACCCAAGGACAAGCTGGACGATGGACGCATTGTGGAATGCGTATCTTGTGGATGTAAGGGTTGCGCGACTGGTGATTAACATGTCGATCATCCATTGGACAGTTTATTTGTTTGATTGATTGATCGAACGAAAGTTTGATTGATTGATTGAGAGATGGATAGATAGATATATAGATTGCAATGACTGGCGCGACACCCAAGGCCTTGACTGGTAGCACAAGCAACCGGATAGGTCCCTGCCCTGCCCGGTCCTAACAGCCCCCAGCCTAGTACCAACAACAACAAACTACAACATGGTCAATGTCACCTGACTGCCTCTTCCTGGGCCAACCTACACATAAATAACCTTGACAAATCTCAAGGTTGGACAACAATTCTGTTGTTGATGTTTGTCCGACGACGACACTAACATATCTCAATGGCACCATCAATTAGAATCTCCTATTCAACGCGGTTGTTTTGTGGTCCCCCATTTCATTCCATTTAGATTGATATTGGGGTCGAGGCTTTCGGAGGCCTCCAGGGCCAACCAAACACGATTTTTTAACCACTTTTTAGACTTTTTCGATCAAATTGATGGGCTTCACGATCACCAACGGATCATTAATTGAATCTATTCAGTTAGTTGGGGCGGACGACAACGACACGGGCGGTGAAATGGGATGGATGACGGTGGAGAGACAGAGAATCACGTGTTGTGTAGGTACACTATCACATTTGCATGGTAGATGATGTTATATTTGCGTCTTTACTACCTAAATGGAGTGAATTCACACACCAACTTCCAGTCCAATCCAATCACATCAACAATGATCAATGTTTACACACAACCCTCATCGTCAGTGGAGAGACAGACAGGGCAGTTGTATGTTGTGTGGCCCTACCCTGCCAGGATGGAGTTAGGTGATAGATGCATTGCATTGCTGTTACGTACTTGGATCGTCCGACTGTTGCCTCCAACAACAATGTAGTGGTGTAGTGTGTGTGGTCTGGTCTGTCTTGGCGTTGGCATCAGCTTCCTCAACAATCCCATTGGCAGCTCAAAGACTTGAAATACTAATTCCCATCATTCCCTGTTGAGTAGTAGATATTATCTCTATAATCGAATAGAGAGAGAGTGAGAGAGAGCGAGAGAGAGAGGGACCCAATTGTACCATCACTACCTTTTACACCAAAGTATGTATGATCGATTGATTGATTGTCGGGCCATCAACATCCATCACATATCCAATGTCTGACATTGATGATGTGTACATGGTCCAGACCAAGGACATGAATACTAACGACCATTCATTCATTCATTCAATCAATCAGACTCAGTAATATTATAAACAAACAAACAATCATCATGCCTGCGATGAACAACAATAGATTGATTGCATCGCTGGTGATGTTGGCCATGACTGCATTGATTATGCAATCTGCCAACGACAAACACTTTGCATATTCATTCAACATTGAATCTGCAACTATCGTCCAGAAGAACACTAATGTGCTGGGTGTCGACGTCTCATTTGCAATGATCGACGTGACGTTTGATCGCGATCTGTACATTCACAAGGCAAGCGCCTGTCCCAACTTCACATGTCCAACACAACCCGCCATCAACTGCGCATGTGACTACACCGACCCCGCGGAATGCCCCAAGAAGCTGGACGCCAGCTGTCCAGCATGTCCGGCATCCAAAAACGGCGTTGTGTTCTGCAGCCCCGATTCCCCATGGACAACGCTGCAAGCCAACCAAACCTACACCTTCTCCAACATCACCAGTGCCAAGTCATTCAGATACAAGCCCATAACTAGTTATTGCGAGGGTTTCAAAGTATGTCTTAAGACATCACACACTCTGGAACCATTCCAATCTCTAACCAACAAATCAATCAATCAATCAATCAATCCAGGTACATATATCTCAAGAGTATGGAGACATGGTACTTTATGAAGGCACTGACAGAACGCCATTGGCAAGGTACACTGGATTGGAATACATTGATCAGGAGTTGTCCATGAATATTTGCCCAACCGATAATAATATGGGACCTTCTAGGAAGTCATGGACGAACGGCACCTACTTCTTCAGGGTGGAGCCCAACTCCAACTCGCCGTTGATCTCCTATAGTATAACTATCTACTCTGCACCGGTACCAGCAGTCGATGTCAACGCCCCAATGTGCACCAACGTCACCAAAAGACACAGATGTGTATCCGATGGAGTGCAGATGTTTGGCGAGACCACCGAGGATGGTGTGGTCGACTTTTACTCATTCGCTGTCGATCGCAACATGTCCCTTGCTATCGCCATCCCCTACCTTGGTCAAGCCATCAACTTCTTCATATCCGATGATCGATACGCTGACGACTTCAGATGGGCAGCCGTTCAACCAAGTATGTATAATTGATTGGAATGATTCCTGACCCCCACTCACTGACTCGCTCATTCACTCAATCACTTAGATGAGAACAATGGAATTATTGAGGTTGGACCATGGCCAAATGGAACAGCCAGGATACTTTACATTCAAGCCTACGTATCCTATGCTTGCAAGTATACTTTTAGTCTTCAGTCACACGCGACACTTTGGAAGATCCCAATCACTAGTGGATTCCCAAGAGGCAGTAGCTTCAGTTTGTATGGCTCATCAAGGATTGTCTCTCCAAGTGAGGTCTTCTCCACTGCAATGCCCGGTCTCGCATTCACCGCGCTCGCACCAAGAAAGTACAACAACCCATTGTGGCCCGTGCCTTCGGACATTCGCGATCTACCATTCCTGGCCACGATCGACTTCTTTGACACACTTTACATCAGTGAGCCCTCCAACGTGCCCAAGAGTCGCACATACCAAGCCAGCTTCTTACTCTCCTACAATGACCAAGCATCTGGATTGATTGTCAAGGGCACCATGGAGACACTTCTAAACTCCACCCTTGAGTTCAGCAGCACCATCATTGATGAGAATGGACTTGTAAGTAGTGCACTCAATCACTCAATCAATGTGTCCGAACATTCATTAATTCATTCATTCATTTGTAGCCATTGACAGCAATATTGATGCTCAAGGAAGGCAATATTACATGTGATTATCAGGAGTTCAACACATTGCTCGATGATATCAAGTTGAAGGAGTCCAGCATTTACTCTGGCAATAACTATAACGAAGTGTCAGCTTTGCGTTATGAGTTGGATGCTCACACACTTAGAGATCCATGGTATGGATGCATGTCCAACGCCAATGATCTATTGAAGATGGAGGTGCTAGACAAAGTGGAGCTCACAACAATGTGCACTCTCAAGCCCAATGATCCCAAGTACTTGACCGACCCATGTTGTGACACCTCCTTGCAGTTCTCCCAATGTTGTATCCCACGTAACATCACTATTCCTACACTGTCAATCGTTGGAACCAAAGAAGGTATGTAATCAATCAATCAATCTTGGAATATACCAATTGCATCATTGTACTGACATGACTCATCAAACATCCATACATATAGCCTCTGTCAAACAACAATGTTCCAGTTACTCATGCACTACATCAGTGTTGGATGAATATTCTCTCGCGCTGGCCAGTGTTAACAAGGGTGATTGCTCACTGTCACAGACTGAATATAACAAGTACCAACTCAATGTTGCCAATACTCTGAGGTCATGCAAGGATGTCTACGATTGGGTCTACTGTGTGAATGACTCAATGTGCGCCGACTTGGGCGACAACACAAAGTGCAATCTCTACAGACGCAAATGTGAACCGGATCGTGTGTCCCAGGACATGATGTACCTGTCGTGCATTATCAATCAGTCCGCACCCTCCACGATGAACTTCCTCAAGTATCAGCTCGGTCTGGGACAGGTCCAGGACGACTCCGTGTTGATCAAGGATATGTACAACATGTTCCTCTCGAACGACTGCTCAACATTCACTGGCAACAGCTACCGCAAGCGCTATGTCTATGGAACCAACGATGGAAATGGCGATGGATGCTACACAACCACCTGCTTTGATGACTCGTGCGAGGTGGTCCACGACACATGCCATGATGGATACATCTCCGGCTACCAGTTCCTACCCAACTTTTTGACCCAAGATGAGTGTGCCGCCAAGAACATTTGTACATCTTGCGATCCCACCGATGATGCATGCAAGCTGGCATGCGCCGCCAACAACTACTGCGGCTTCTGTCCAAACCAGCACACAACATGCTACAACTTCAACAACACGCTCCCTGACGAGCCTTCATGCTCCAACTCACAGGGCGTGTGTTTGTTGCCCAGTGGCCAGTATGACTCCACGATGACCGAGGCACAATGCCATAGTGCTGGCACTTGTTCCGAGACCTGCGGCGCCACATGTGGTATATACAAAGGATGTGTCTCCCCTATGATCACCAACCAGACTGAATGTGAGAAGATAACCAATGGAACATGGAGGTCGACTGGAAAGTATGGCTTCTGCCAGGTCCAGATCCAGTCCCCCGGTACGTGTGAGCTCAGAGGCCACACGTACGTCAATTGCAATGCCCAAGCAGTGGACGAATGCTCAAACATGGTTGGAGGTGGCAAAGTCGAGCTGTGCGGTCTCACACCAATTGAGTGCACTTCCAAGGATGACTGCGAGCAGACTGGAGGCTCGTGCACGGACGCGTTCTACTTTGACGAAGCAAACCTGCCACAGTATCCCCAAGGTCTTGGAAAGTGCGTCCACAGGCATGAGGCCTATACAAACTCTGGCCGCTACACCTGCAAGATCATTGTCGAGAACGATTCCCCAATGGGCTGCATCAAGTCCAGCCCTGACGTGTTCACCGAGGCGGAATGCATAGCGACTGGCGGAGAATGGTGGAGGCAGGCTTATTCACAAACAGCTTGTGAGCAGAACATGGGATGTTTGGCTCCATCGACCTACTCTACACTGCCCAATCAATTCCGATTCAATGAGATGAACGAGACGCAATGTAATATCTGTCAAAACAATGATAACAAATGGACCAACAAGTTCTCCTGGAAGGCTGGACGATGGATGCCTGGCGTGATGGTCAAGCCCAAGTGGCTGACTACCACCCGCGTCAACATGACTACCTGGGGACCGACCTTTGACTTTGAGAAGTTTGCCAACGCCCTCCAAGGCGCCAACTATGGACATCTGGTCAATCAGATGCGTTCCTCGGCCATGTGTCGTATGAACCGTCTTCAAGAGAATCTTGACTCGCTAGCATGCAGTTGCTCTGGCCCTGGCGGTGCCCAATGCTTTGGCTCATCGGCCATCCTACTTGGCACAACTGTCGCATGCGCTGAAGAGTCTTCAAACTTCACATTCACCAACGGAAGGATTATGTTCACCAATCAATCAGTGCCCATCTCTTGTGTCGACGTACTCGTGTCCCAGATCAGCAAGCTGCTCTACAAGGCCACAGTCCAGATCTCGCTCAGCACTGACTTTGTGTCCTACAAGAAGGCCGACTCCTACTCCCTCACAAATGGCCACGGAGCTATTATTGGCAGTATCCTCGGCGATGGTATCAAGGTACAACACGTGGGCGTTGACTCATACACTGTGTGCTTGAAGCAAGTTGGACAGCCTACCTCAGACTTCCCAATCTTGGACTTTGCCTCACAATCAGTGAACGACACCAAGGTGCTCATTCCTCAGAATGCAGAGGTATTCCCCCTCACTCTGGCTGACGGCCAAGTCTACCTGTGTGCCAACATGAGCCTGACTGGCGAGGACACCTCCACTCACTTCCCCATCATCAGAGTGGCCGACTGGTCCACCGCCAAGAAGCGTCTGTTTGACCGATCGACAACAGCACTGATCTACACACTGGGCGTGCTGTTTGGATTGAATGCCCTCTGGGGCTTTGTCCAGATCGGCTTCATCGCCATCAAGTTGATTCGCGACAAGGTGCGCTTCAAGTTGGTCCACGGACTCATCGTCTCGATCACAACATTCATCACGATTCGTTCGATCTACTTCTTCATCCTGCCATCCGGCCAGCTCTCCGACTCTTTGGTGGCCGACTACATTCTTGTCGTGTTGCCAACATTCCTCTACTTCACGGCATTCTCCATCATTGTCGTGCTGTGGTACGTCATTGTCAGCTCAAAGATCCACGTCAACTTCTTCAGCCGCTTCAAGCAGACCATCATCGTGGTGAACGTCATCATCTACCTGATCTTCATCATCATCGTGTTGGTGTTCAACTTCTCCAAGAAGACCGAGCGCAATGATTGCGGCGCCAGAATGTCCGTCATTCCCAGCAACACCACTCCTCAGCGTGTCGTCTCCATCTTCTACGCCGTCGTCCAGGCAGTCATCTCGCTGCTGATTGGCGCGTCCTTTGTTTACCTGGGCGTGTCGATCTACAAGCTGGTCGGCTCGCAGAACCCCAACGGACAGGTGAAGAGGTCGAGCTTCCAGAAGAAGATCTTCATCGTGGCGTCAACATGCTCGGTGGGATTCATTCTCCATTGCGTCTTTGTTCTGATCCTGGTCGGTGCCGAGCCCTCCAACATTGTGTTCAGTTTTGTCGGACTGATCGTCACCGAGATCATTCCAGTGATGAGCATCCTATTCGCCTACAATCAAGGACAACTTGGTGGACTACGTCGCTCCACTGGATCTAACGCCAGCAACCGCATGACCAACATCTCTGGAACAAGGTCAACCCACATTGGAGCATTGGATACATCCAACAACAGCAACCACCACACCCGAGACTCATCCGACGGTGGCTCCCTCCATTAGTCACCCACGCGTACATCGTGTAAACAATAAAAGTCTTGTTGTATCAACATAAGGAACATTTATAGCCAAAGAAATCGCCAAAGTAATTGCCAATATATAAATCCATAGTATGGTGAGGGAAAATTAATGGCAAAGTATACTTTGGAAATGTACTATGGAGTTTACTCTGGAACTCACCATTGTATACTTTGGCAATGTAATTTACTTTGGTACTTTGGTACTTTGGTAACTCTCGAAAGTATTATTAATAGGATTGTATAAAATATGCTAGAAATACTTTATTAAWTTATTATTAATTATTAATAGTGTTGTGATTATCGTGAGCTACTCTTGGTGTTGACTCATTCAATTTCAGATGACTACGTAGTTCGAATGAGTCTTTGGTGATGAATCACCAAGGCACAAAACCACACTAAAAAATTGAATTTAATTTAGATGATGAAGAGAAGTGCACATGTTTTTTTCATTCACCATCATTCACCCCAACAACAAGTTCACTCACTCTTCATTCCTTGCGTCCCATCCCCTTCCAATCATCATCGGCTGACTGACATACTCATTCAAACATACATACATACATATATATAACACATTCATTCAATCAAACATATAATCAAACAGAGAGAGAATGTCAAGACGTGTCTATCCAACAGACCCAACCAATCTGTTGTCAACAGATGCTTCACTTGCTGCTGGACAACAGCCAATGATGGGCACAATGCCACCTCAACAGCAACAACAGGGAATGCCATATGGCAATGATCAATCAAACATGATGATGCAACAACAGCAGCAGTATCCACAACAGCAACAACAACAGTATCCACAACAACAACAACAACAGATACCATCACCAACTCATACATCGACAACACCTGCTGTTGCTCCATTGCCAGTGACGAATGCATACTCAACCTATCCAAGCAATCCTTCACCAACATTCCCACCCGCCGTCGCCACGGCAACCAACAACTACAATCAGCAACAGCCAATGCAGCCAATTCAGCCACTTCAGCCACAGGCCCCTCCCCCAGCTGGCGGTCCAACTCCACAGACCACATTCCACACATCCAAGCGACACTATGTAGTTGACCCAGACAATGCCACACCAGTGGTCAACGCAATGTCTTCAATGTCACTTGGTGAGCAGAATCAGCAGCTGCAACAGCAACAGATGCATCAGCAGCAACAGCAGCAGCCATACTCAGGCATGCCAACCCAACCAACCTATCCAGTCCAATCACAACCATATGCTCCACAGCCAACCTATACACCATCGCCAGCAGTGGTGCCAACCCAGCCATACCAACCACAACAGCCAGTGGTCCCACAGCAGCCCTATCAACCGGTCGCCCCTCAACAACATGCTACATTCCCCGGCCAGCAGCAGCAACAACAGCAACAGCAACAGTATGGATACACTGGACAGCCACAGCAACAGCAACAGCAACATCAAGGCTACACTGGAGCGATGCCAGTCCAAGGCCAGACACAACAGCCATATCAACAGCAACATGCCAACATACCATACATGCCAAACCCAATGCAGATGGCCACTCAGCCCATGGGCTCCGTGCCCTATCACTCACAACAAGGTGGCAGCGGCGGCCTACCAACAAACATTGAGCAGACCATGCCTACACCAGAGAACCTCTGTCCCAAGTCCTACCTGAGAATGTCAATGAATGCCATCCCCAGCCAGGCATCAATCCTCAGCAAGATACACATTCCACTCGGTTGTAGCATTCATCCATTTGCCAATGATGAAGCTGTAAGTGTACATACACTCCTCATTCATTCAATCAATCAGCTGATCAAACTTACTCATTCACCCGATCAATCAACCAATCAATCAAACAGAACCCAGTGCCGGTGATCTCATCGACCATCGTCAGATGTAAGAGATGTCGTGCCTACATCAATCCATTCGTCACATGGTTGGATGGTGGTGGAAGATGGAAATGCAATGTTTGTGATATGATCAATGATAGTATGTACTCGCATCAATCGACTACAAGGTGTCTCGAACCTTTACTAACTCATTCAATCATATACAGCTCCACAAGACTACTTCAGCCCAATCGATTTGACAACTGGCAAGCGAGCCGATATTGCCACTAGACCTGAGCTGCAGAGAGGATGCGCCGAATTCTTGGCCACGAGCGAATATACCATCCGTGCCCCACAGCCACCCGTTTACTTTTTTGTCATTGACGTCTGTTATGAATCAATCGTCTCTGGAATGCTCAACACTGCCATAGAGGCAATCAAGGCCTCGCTCGATAGTAAGTATTACTCCGCCACGCACTGCCACCCACTCACTTACACACTCATGCTGACTCACTCAACTCTTACTTAGACTTGCCAGGAGACACTAGAACACGCGTTGGCTTCATGACGTTTGATGATTCACTGCACTTCTATAACTTGAAGTCGAGTTATGGACGTCCACAGATGTACGTTGTGACTGAGATGGACAGCATCTTTGTGCCACCATTCGAGGAGTTCTTGGTCAACCTCAAGGAGTCCCGCGCCATCGTCGACTCCTGTCTAGACATCATCAAACAGATGGAGCGAAAGACACAAAAGGTCGAGTCCTGTCTCGGCTCAGCTTTGAAGGCTGCCTTCCAAATTTGTGTAAGTACCATGTTTGATCAAACTGGAACCATTCCAGACTAACTCACTCAATCAATCAATCAATCCAACACACGAACAGCAAAAGGTTGGAGGCAAGATTGTTGTATTACAAAGTTATATACCTAGAGGACCATTTGGAAAGCTGCCGATTCGTGAGTTCCAGTCGTTGTTGGGTACAAAGAAGGAGACACAGCTGTTGCAGCCACAGGACGCTGGCGACTTTTACAAGGAGTTGGGCCTCAACTGCTCGAGCCACCACCTATCAGTCGACTTATTCCTGTTTGCCACCGACTATGTCGATGTAGCCTCGTTGTGCTGCCTGCCCCAGATCACGGGCGGTGAGCTCTTCTACTACCCCGCTTTCGTTGCCAGTCGCGACGGCCAGACGTTTGCCGCCAATCTGATGCAGGTGCTGACCAGACCCACGGGTTGGGAGTCGGTTATGCGTGTCAGGACCAGCCGCGGTCTCACCACCAACGTCTACCATGGCAACTACTTCCTCAAGTCGTCTGACCTGCTATCCCTGCCAACGATCGACGCCGAAAAGTCCTTCACACTGCAGATGGGCATCACGGACAACATCACCAGCAAGTACGTGGCAGTCCAGTGCGCGCTCCTCTACACTCACTCGTGCGGCGAGCGTCGCGTCCGTGTCTACACGGTCAGCATCCCCGTCGTCGTGTCATACGCTGAGCTGTTCAAGCAGGCCGACATCTCCGTCGTGGCCAGTCTGATCAGCAAGATGGCCATCGACAAGGCCCTGGCGTCTAGTTTGTCAGACGCGCGCGAGGCCATCGCAAACAAGTGCGTGGACATCCTGACGGCCTACCGCAACATGCTTACATCTGGCGGCTCGCAGACGTCCAACTCTGTCACGCTGTCGGCACAGACACCCAAGCTACAGCTGCCCGAGTCACTGAAACATCTGCCTCTCTACGTTGTAGCCATGGTCAAGAGCATTGTGTTCACATCGCGCCAGACGCACCCAGACATGCGCGCATTCCACATGCACCGCATGAAGATGGTGGACATCACATCGTGCCTCAACTTTTTCTATCCACAGTTCTACTCGCTGATCCGTCCGCCCCAGCAGGCCGACCACCAGGGCGACGCCACACTGCCCACGGTCTCTGCACTGCCCACCTCGATGAAGCTGTCGTCCGACCAGCTGTCGCGCGCTGGCATCTTCATCCTCGTGAATGGCTTTGCCATCTACATGTACGTGGGTGAGGCGTGTCCACCCGAGACGATCCGCGACGTCTTTGGCTGCGACTTTGTCCAGCTAGACGCACTGACTTTCCAGGGCCTGCCCACCATCGACAATGACAACTCTCGCTATGCGCGCAAGGTGTTGGAGATGGCACGCTCGTCCTATCCCGAATACCAACGTATCTCTCTGGTCAAGTCCAACGACAAGCAGCAAAGCATCGACTTTACATCGATGTTGATCGAGGATCGTACTCCAGAAGGTGGCTCCTACTATGAGTTTATCATGCAATTACAGAATAGACTCCAACAAAAGAGTTAAAATCAATCCAATCATTCAATCATCCAACAATCCAACCATCTCAATCAATCCAATCATTCAATCACTCTCTATCTCCCATTGACAAGCAAGCGAACTCCCCTCCATTCCATCAACTAACCATTAATAAAATCATGTCATCAACAATAATTATTATTACCAGTTTCACTCTGGACAAGTGTCCAGAGTTTGGACACCTTATGTGTTTATCTTTCTAATGTTACACATCCACCTCCTGTTATTATATATATAATAGAAGTGGACACATCTCCTGGATCAGAGACACAAACGAACAATTAAATGACTCTGTAATAAACCAGGTACCTTAATTAATTAATTAATTGTCAAGATAGACTTGGCTTAACTTGACTTGTATTTCCCTTTTTGGAATGCAATTGATTATTCGGTGAAGTGGGTTCACTCAATTTGATCAATCATTCACACACACAAACATAAAGACTAGACCGCATACACACTGATGATCATTGAATGAAGCATTGCCACAACAATGTCTCAACAACAGGAACAGATACGAATACTACAGTTACAATTACAACTACAGATGCATCAGAGACAACATATGCAGGTGCTGAGTATACTTGCAGGTAGGACTTACATCGATGTCAGAGACCTGTTGGCATACTTTAGCGCGTGTAAAGCCTGGCATCATATGGCCTCGCGCCACGCCATCACCCAGCAGCTCTACCAGCAGTATGTGGCACTGCACCTGCTGTTGCTCAAGAAGATGCGCGTCGTGCACTGGTCGCACCAGTTCAACCCGCTGCCTGCCGTGCACGCCCTGCCGCCCCTGGTCAAGCTGCGCACCGACCTGACGATGCTCAACGACCTGATCGCGCTGGTCCATCTGCTGGACCACCGCAGCCACCTCAACGTCATCCTGGAGAACAACAGTCTGTTCCACTCAATCGTACAGGGTCACTACAAGGACATGGCATTCATCGACAAGCTTCTCTGCTACGCGATACTCTACTCAAACGAAGTTCTCCTGTTGTTTATCGTGCGACTGATCACATCGTTGCAGCAGGTCTCATTTGGCAGCATGTTCAGGTCGATCGAGGGTGTCCCAGGCGCCGTGCCAGTGGGCAGCACCCCCTCAGGCGCGTCGTCATCATCGTCGCTGCGTCTTTCGAGCGGACCCAATCAACATCAGCAGCAACAACAACAACAGTACACGCCATCTCCCAACGAACAAGAGTTGGCACTCTTTAACATCACATCGTGTAGACATCACATCTTGTTGACACCCCTGGCACTGTTCATTGCGTCGGCCTACCCTCAAGGCGGGTCATCAGTACTCAAGCAACTGCTGTCACTAGGTCAAGCGTTGTATAGTGTGACGATGAAGTTGGTCGTATCACAACGTACGCCACTATTCCTGGCTGCATCAAGAGAGATCACATTGACACTGTTGCAGAACAAGGCAAAGAACAATGAGAAGGACTCATCTGGCATGCTGCCCATCCACTACCACTCACTCGTTGGCAACCTAGAAGTGATCAAATGTCTCCTAGACGATACAACAGTCAATGCACAAGACCTGGCACAAAACACTCCATTACATTGGTCCTCACTCAAGGTATGATTGGATTGTGGAATGATCCCACCCCACCGATCACTCACTCACCTACTCACACTTCCTCCTCCTCCTTCAGGGTCACCTGCTCGTGGTGAAGACATTGATTAGCTCGGGCGCACGCCTTAATATTGCCAATGCAAAGGGAAGGTATCCTGTACATAATGCAGCGATGGAGGGACACATCGACATCATCAAATACTTTATAGACCTGTACACAAAGGCCTCCCAAAAGGGCACGATCAGATCATCAAATGGAAGTGCATCGATACAGATTGCCGACAAAGAGAACAACACTCCAATCGATCTGGCCATCCTCAAGAATCACTTCTACGTCACATTCGAGCTGCTCAAATATGAAGGAGGTATGTGTTGATGTTTGGTTGATCGATCAATCATTGAAGGAACTGTCACATACACTCATCATACTCACATTCAATCAATCACAAACATCATTAGTTCTGTTGCAATCTGATGAGTTTGACTTTATGAACGGAAGGAAGATTGGATCTGGTGCATTCGCCGATGTGTACTTGATGCAGTGGCGTGGACGACAAGTGGCCGTAAAGAGAGTGAAGTATGACAGATTGCTAGAGTCTGGCAAGTCTGACGAATGGATCAAGGGCAAGTTCTTGCTGGAGGTGGTACTGATGGTGTATGTATCAATCTCAACCAATCCAATCAAAAGATTATCCACTAACATGAACCCATTAATCGACGATCGAGTAGCAAGCTATCACATCTTTCCAGTTTTGTAAAGTTATTCGGCACAGTAATTGAACAAAAGGAACTGCTACTGAGTATGTTATTGCTGCTGCCAAACCTTATCCATCATGGACAAGACTAACATCCCCCTCTCGAACAAACAGTATTGGAGTTCTGTTCACATGGAAGTTTGTACAATATATTGAACACAATTGGAAATGATGATGTGATTGCTACACTTCCATCAATCAACATACTATCACTGAGTATTGCCAATGGAATGGCATACCTTCATGGCCTGTCACCACAGATCATTCATCGCGACCTCACCTCACAGAACATCCTGCTTGACGCAACAGGCTCATCAAAGATTGCAGACTTTGGCATCTCACGATTCAAGAATGACATTGGCGACAAGACTATGACATCGATTGGCAATCCAAGATGGAGAGCGCCCGAGGTCACCAAGGGCGAGAAGTACAGCGAGAAGGTTGACGTGTTTGGATTTGGAATGATCCTCTATGAGATGTTCTCGCGACGCATGCCCTTCCACGAGTTGGAACCGGTGCAGGCGTCGTTCAAGGTGGCCAGTGGCGAGCGACCCAGGATCCCGCCCAACGTCGACTCCCGCTGGGCCAAACTCATCCAACAGTGTTGGGATCACAGCGCGGCCAATCGTCCATCATTCACCGAAGTTATACAAATAATCCAACAACTACCGATCTCCAACATCAAGCCATTCTCAGACATCCCCATTCAGGTCAATGAGACTCCAGTCACCTCCAGCGTGGACGTTACAATGTCCTATGAAGGTTCATACGAGACCTAAGCAATAAAGTATACATAGCCCCAAGCCAGGTACTCGACTCGTCATCTTATTTTGATCATTCATTCATTCTTTCGTTCGACCAATCATCTGTCCCTGCGATATACATATAACTGTGATTGATTGATTGGTTGATCGATCAACGTAGTCTGTCTTTACAAAGCATGCTCAAGTTGTTTCAATCATTCATTGGCAAATGGAGCTTCCATAGAGACATCGCTCACTTTGCACCAGGTCTTGGCGCAGCATCAATGCCATCGGCTGCTGCTGGAGCATCATGTACATTGGGCAATCCCAGATCATCAACATCATCGTCATCAATACCAACAACATCGACCAATCCATTTGGAGTCGAACGTATGACAGTCGATGGACAAGCATCATTCACAACAATGACATCACAAGATGATGCCAACTCGTTGCAATACGAGGAGAGTGGCATACTCATTAGCAATGATAATGCCGGTACACCAGTCAACCAGCGATATATATATAGGTATCAAGACGACAGGATACATGTCTACTTTGATGCAGTGCCAAACGATGGACGACTGCTACATAGTCTAGACTTTATCAACTCAAATCTTGCCACAGGACATCATTGGTGTCCACCCGACACCTACGATGCCACATACGAGTTTGTCAATCCACACGAGTTCCATCTAACATACTGCGTTCAAGGTCCAAAGAAGAACTATAAGATGACAACAGTGTTCAAGCGACGAGACAACTAGTGTGTCTCGTGTTGCTTGCGTCATTCATTCATTCATTCATAAAGCTCAAAAACTAGACTTGTACATCAATCATCTCTATCAGTCTCCTACTTCATCTTTACCTGTACATAATACATATACACCTCATTCTTCATCTATTGCTTGAAAGCTAGTCCTACATATCGATCGATAATGGTTACGAAAGCACAAATAGGTCTGTTTCTGACTGTCGTTGCTACTGGATCACTGATAGTATGGATACACAATGATCAGAATGATGCAAGAGCTGTACGTATCATGTCGCCTACATCGTGATTGATCAATCATCTAATCAACTTGACATCACATGCGACATATATATAGAAGATGAGACAGGGCGTTCTGAAAGACATTGAGAAAGAGAAGTGGAAAGAGTTGAACAGAGGCAACAAACCAGATGACAGTAAATAGATTAGTACAATAGGATGACTGACTGCTTGGAATGGATTGGTCGTGTTAGAGGGTTGGCTATTTATTGAATGAGCATAGGAATGTGAGGGGATTGAAGAGCAATGTGATCTAATTTGTACAGTTTGAAGCTGGTTGATTGATAGATGGTCTGGAGAAGTGAGTTATTGTTGTTGTTGAATTGGCTTGTTGGAGTAGTTGTTGGATCTCTAGATGGTGGAAGGTAAGGGAAGGATTGGATTGGATTGGATTGGGTTTGGTGAAAGTGGCGCGAGTATTGACGGCTGCTATTAGGTCATCTGATTGTTTAGTGGTGCTTATGATTCTTCATTCCTTTTAGGTGGCCTCGATCATGATGGCGTCCTGATGCGGCCAGCATGAAGTATGATAAGATTACAAACAGGAATGCAAGCAAAACGATCAATAGTAAAAATCTCTCTGTAAATCATGATGAGTTATGTTAGTGATCAATCCCGATCCAGTAATCAAGCTGGTATCCATGTATACATACTCCTTGATTTCTCAAGTCTCTGCACTCTGTCTTCGTATTGATCCACTTTGCTCTTTAGTGAATTGACCTGCTTCGACAGCTCTTGAGTGGCACCAATGTTCTCAAATATCAACGCTTGATTCTTGATGACTAACAGGTTCTCCACTTCTCTTCCATTTATATATCTGTTTCCAATCGTCTTGATTGATTGTGGTAATATGGCCTATGTATGATTGGATTGATGATGATTAGTCTTCACTATAATATATGATTGAATGATTGGATGAATGTATGTATACTTACACCTAACTCTTGAGCGATGACACCTCTATCTTGGTTGTCGTATGGGTCCATTCCATTCATTAACATCCACTCTGGATGCAGCTTGTAGTCGTAGATCTTCATTCTATTTACATTGTCGAGATTCTGCTTGCTGTCCACACCCTGGACATCGTATTTGATTCGGAGATCTGAAGGATGGTAGACACCCTCGGAGGCATAGATCGTTCCCTGCACCGAGAGCGCGAACGTCGGGTTGTCCACATTGATGCCAACCTTGCCGTTGTAAATGATGGTCTTGTCGGCCTCGCCTCGCGTCCACTCGCATCCGCCCAGCTTGGTGGTGTTGAAGCTGGCCGGGATGTTGCTGACAGACGCCGATTGCTGCAGGTTGTTTGTGGTCGATGACGCTGTCGGGATCAGGTTGTTGCTCAGGGTGAGCGTGGGGCGTGGGGAGTGTCCAGGCGACTGCAGCCTCATCGAGGAGAAGTCGGGATAGGTGGAGAGGTTGGAGCCGAGCGTATTGAATGGTGAGCTGGGCTCGGCGGGGGTGTGCGCGGGACTGAGGTCGGTGGCGGCGGGCGACACTGACGGTGAGCTGATGGCCGTGCGCACAATTAGTGCCGGCGATATGTAAGAGACTATGCAGTACTCTTGTGCCATGCAGCGGCCCCAGAGCGAGACGACCAGCTGGTTGTACTCTTGGTGTGGGTTGGGTTGTCCATTCCTGCGTGCATTGTTCAGTGTGGCCTTTCTGAAGTGCAGACGCTGTATCGAGACAAGTGATCCAAACTGGATGGCCACGGGCTTGGGTGCATGCTCGCCCTGCTTCTCACGCTTCGAGTTGGTCTGGAACAGCTCGACCTCGAGCTCGGGCTGCACATTCTCCATGCGGTTCTTGATGCCCTTGATTGTGAGTGTCAGGCCGTTGATTGGGGTCTTCTGGCCGTCGATGATCAGGTAGGATGGAGTCTGTGTTGGGTCAACAGATGACGATGTAGGCATGCCGTTATCAAAGTGCTTGGGATAGGAGGCTGTGATGTCGAGCTGGAAGTGGTTCCTGCGACAGTAGACCCACGAGCTGTTGACGTAGGAGAAGCCCTTTGAAGCGATGATCTGCAGCTGGGGCACGGGCATCTCCTCGCCGTTGGCGTTCATCGTCCTGTACCATTGCTCCTGCTGGTAGTGTGTCCATTGGAAGGGTGGGTCGCGCTCGCCGTACGAGATCAGTGGCGACAGCGGGTCCGAGCCATCGTTCTCCAACGACAGATAGTTGTCCGAGTGCATGAGTGGCGAGTGTACGGGCGAGTGATGTGGTGAGGCGAGTGGCGAGTGCTGTGGCGAGTGACCGGGCGACACGCCGCGAGGCGACAGTCCCATGGGATTCATCATACCCATGCCGCCAGCGGCCGTCGTTGTGATCGAGATCTGTGGAATGGGATACAAGGTCGAGGACATGATTTGTTGTGGCTGTTGCTGTTGCTGCTGCTGGGGTTGTGGCAGCTGGAAGGAGCCCGAGTTGGATGGGGACGAGGGTGTGTTTGATGAAGTGGGCGAGGTGTTGAACTGGTTCTGGAAGCCGGTCAGCTGCTGCTGGTGTTGCTGCAGCTGCTGGAATGTGTCCATCAGGTAGGAGCTGCCCGAGCTCTGCAGGCCGCCGGGCGACACGCTGATCTCTGTGTAGGTGCCGTCGTCGTTCTTCACCTTTCTCTTCTTTGTATTGCCATCGTCAATTATTGAGTTGAATGTGTTTAGTGAGTTGCTCAATGTGTTGGGTGGGATGAGCAATGGTGGAATTTGATGTTGTTGTTGTGGTTGTTGTTGCTGTTGCTGCTGTTGTTGCTGTTGTTGTTGTTGGACAATACTATTCATGTAAGAGTCCATTGACATGTCCATCATTGGTTGTTGTTGCTGTTGCTGCTGTTGTTGTTGTTGCTGTTGCTGCTGCTGCTGATGCTGCTGCTGATTCATGTTACTGTTGTAACCGTCCATTGTTTATATTTGATTGTTTGTTTTAACTATATTATATATACTATTAATTAATTATTAATCAATCAAATAAATATAAATATATATATTATATGTTGTAAAAGAAGAGTTGAAGTGAATGAATGATAGCTATCAAGTGGGTGAGTGATGTATGGTGTGAGTGGGTGTGTCTGAGAGGGTGTGTGCGTGAGGGTATGTTCCTCTAGCTTGAAGGGCACAAGAACAACTAAGTGAGGAGAGATATCTGAAGAGTGGGTGAGTGAGCGAAGGAAATGGTTATGTTTATGTGTGTTTGTTCCTTTACCAACTGACACTTTGAATGAAAAAATAATATAAAAAAAGAAAAAGGAAGTTTTTATCTAACCCGTTCCTTTTGTTTGGTATCAATAATCCGTTACAAAGTAAAAAAAAAACAACTTTCAAATACTACTGTTTAGGGGAAGTTCCTTTTTTGGAACTAAATGTTTGAATGTGTCGTTAATTCATTAGTCCAAACAAACAACAAAGACAGACAGACAAAGAGATAACAGAATGGCTGATGAAGTTGTTGAGTTCGACAGCAGTAAGCTTGGAACAAAGGAGCAGTATGTACTCAATGTTTGAATGATTGAATGATTGAATGAATATGAATGAATGAATACTGACTCGCTCAATCATTGGTAGTTGGGAGGAATGTTATGATCGTGAGATTAACTGTTTCGATGAGAGTGGCGATGTTGGAGAGATATGGTTTGGAAAGGCATGTTTGAAGAAGATGTGCAAGGAGATTGCTGCACTTGGTGATGTGTCAAAGGACGCCGCAGTGTTGGATATTGGATGTGGCAATGGTTATACTTTGGTCGAACTACATAGGCTGGGCTTCACCAATCTACATGGCTCGGACTACTCGCCCAAAGCCATCGACCTCGCCACGAGGATTGCACAAAGCGAGAACATACCCAGCGACAACATACATTACTTTGTCGACGATATACGCAGCTCAACAGTGTTGGATCATACATACGACATCATAGTGGACAAGGGAACGTTTGATGCGATGGCCCTCTCTGACGACAAGGAGCAGGCACGCGAGGATTACCGACGCACTGTTATACGCACGATCAAGGCTGGTGGCTACTTTGTCATCACCAGCTGCAACTTCACACAGGCTGAGCTGCAGACATACTTTGGCGGCGTTGGCATGTTCATCTTCCTGCACACAGTACAATATCCCGTGATGCGCTTTGGTGGCTCCCAAGGCCAGTCGCAGACTACATGTGTATTCCGCGTGCCAGCTGCCGACAGTGGAACTTCCAGCAGCACTTGCCATTAAAGGCAACAGCACCCCCACCAAGTTGTGTGTGTGTTCCGCGGAAGTTAGGTTCGCACATCTCGCGAATTGTTTGCGATCTCCGCAGTCGGCACCAAAACAGGAACAAGTATGAATCTACACAGAGGCAACTCCAACTAAAGTGTGTGTACTTGTCGACTTAAATGTGTGGGGTTGTTGTCCAACCAACCAACCAAGCAACACTGATGTAAATGATGTTGTGTGTGTGATGGATACATTCAATCATTCATTCATTCACATCAAATACATAATACATATACACATACACACAAAGAGATAAACAACACTCAATAAACACAGGTCTAGTCTTGAGCGGTCATCAATTATAAGTCATTCATTCACCTTTAAGTTATACTCTACTACATACACACATTCACATCACATCACTTCACAACATCATATCATACATATACCTACATACATAAAACAACATATAGGCAACGCAGCAGTAGCAGTAACAGCATAGGAGTAGGCAAAACATATTTAAACACTCTATTGAGTCATCAATCAATCACATTCAATATCAATCATTCATACATAACATTATCACAAATAGAGAGAAGATGACAGAAGTTAATGATTATCTCTATTGTGAATATCAATGTCCAAACTTTGATGATACCAGTTTGGATGAGATAGTTGATCCTGAAACTGTAAGTCCACATACACATCAAACGACCAATCAATCAATCAATCAATCACTCATGTGAACCAAGTACTAATACAATATTAGCTAATATTCAACCAAAACAAAGACAAGTTGGAGAAACTATCTAATGAGTTACTATGTGGTAAAAGAGTTGTATTCGTCACTGGCGCAGGACTGAGTGTTCCAAGTGGTTTGGCAGCATACAGAGGAACAAAGCAAGCAACATGGGAGAACTTCATCATGGATTGGGGAACGAGGAAGAAGTTCAAACAGAACCCGACCAACTGGTGGAACCAATTCTGGCTGCGCACTCACGAGAAGCAAGAGTACATCGATGCTCAGCCCAATCCAGGCCACTTTGCCATCTCCAGTCTGGTTGATCTCTGCAATGTCCGAGTGATCACACAGAACATTGATGAACTCCACCTGAAATCAAAGATCCCAGAGCCCAAAGTCATAGAGATCCATGGACGAATTGGACTCTACAAATGTATCAAACCAGGATGTATATACTCATACGACAAATCAATCAATGACCTGGATATCAATCGTTATGGTATGTTCATGGAATCAATCAATTCATTCAATCATTCAAACAACAATACTAACCAATCATACATAGCAATCAACAACACATCTATGAAGGGAGGTGATCTTATGATTAATGCACCGGATTGTCCAAACTGCCGCGCACCTATATTACCACAATCGTTGTTGTTTGATGAAGACTACAACTCACATTCATTCCTGCGATATCATGACGCAATGAACTGGATTGACAATGCCGACGTCTTTGTATTTGTCGGCACATCATTCTCAGTGGGCATCACAGACGAGATCGTCTATCAAAGCAAGCAGTATGGCAAATCATTGTACAACTTCAACCTCTATCCCGAGGAGAAGATCAAGAGCATGGTCAACATTCTTGGCGGCTCCGAGATCACACTGCCAATGCTCGAGCGAATGGTCATCTCCAAGGCACTGAAGCGCACTGGTCCACTGATATGGCGAGAGAGCAGTGTCAAGTCTTTGACCATGGAATCATCAAAACAGTATCCATGGTAACTAGTTTGTTATATGTTAGCGCGTTCGTTGTATACATCATCATCATCATTAAACATTATTAATATTAATGGATGGAATCTTGGCGAAAGGTATTGAAATGTATTTGCAAAGTCGCGAGCATTTTAGATGGAGTCGACACATGTGAAGTATGTGCCTTCGACGCACTGTGGTTCGATGGCCTCGTACTTGGTACACTTGATGCAGAAGTCGTCGCATTGGGCGGCGTAGAGCTGGCCGTTCTCACACTTGATGCTGTTGGGTGCGGCACATATTGGGAAGGGAGATATGGTGAATGCACCTGGATACGTGCCATTGCAGTCGACTGATGTGTACTGGTACATGGCGGCGTAGCCACGGTAGGTGTCCAAGATGAACTCAAAGTCGCGACAGGTGTTGTTGGCATAGTATCCGGCCGAGTTGGTGCATGTGTCGTAGGGCAGCACGGTGACATTGTCATTGACGTTGCAGTTGTACTCGTCGTAGTGGTAGGAATAGGCGGCGGTGGCATTGCAGGTGTAAGTCCAATACTCGTAGACACAGATGCCCTGCACGTAGCCATCGATCTCGACCACCTCGGACTGGCAATCGGACGAGTTCAAATAATTGTTGACATAGTACATTGGACTGGTGTCAGCATTCGACAGACCTCCAGAATGTAGTAGCAGTGTAGAGCACAGCAATGTGCAAAGTACAAATAATGTCAATTGATTCATTATCTATCTGTTCTTGTTCTATTTTATCTGTTTGTATTTTATATATGTAAGTAAGTTGAATGAATTTGAATGATCCTGAATACGATTGTGTACACAATCCAATCTGATCCAATCCATTCCAAAGTTTAATTGTTGTCTGATGGACACAGAAGGCCCTAGTCTAGGTCTTTGCATGGGGGTCGTTTCAAACAATCAAAGGGTACCCCCTTTGCTACTTCCACTGAATTCCGTTTCGGAACTGGAAACACGGGTGTAATGATGGTCGATAATCGCTATCATTCGCAAACAATGGGGTTTTTTTATGCATATGGAAATTCATGACAACCATCATGGTCAACCTTGGGGAGGTACAGTATTAATACAATGATCATTGACCCTTCGTTTGACTATTCACAACAACAGACGACACTTCTCTATTCTAACAATCGGGTAGATAATCGTTCGCTTAGATATTATTGAAGTGAAGTTCATTAAATAAGATTAAATGACAAGCACACCATCTTGATTATGTTCGGGACAACAGGACTATGTTGCTAGATAGTGATAATGGTTGGATAGGATTGACTACTATGATGATGATGATGTATCTTGTGGTTTTGAGAATTTTCTCATTCAATGTGTATTAACAAGTTTGTTGTTTAGGGTTGGTGGAACACTCTTGTTTATAAGTTTACTAGTCCATCATTTGGTATTAACAACTAAACTACACACACACACACATAACTATAAGTTCAAACTAATAGACTGGAAATCAAATAAACAAGTTTTCAAAAGTATGTCTTGTTTGTCTGTCTTTGGTTTCGAATGATGATTGATTGAATGAATGTCATTCCACCCAAGACCACTTCATCAAGTTTGGACACCACTTCAATTTTTAATTTTTAACCTCATTCTGAAGTTGACAACCTCTTGCACTCTCACTCTCACCAACTCATTCACTCACTCTTGCTCACACTCTTATTGACAATCTATCTCTATCTTGCTAATATATATATATACATCTAGTTCAAATAGATATATACATACATATACAATATACATACTAAATAATGGAAGGAGCTAAAGAGGAAGTACCACCACAACAGACTGAGCAGAAGCCAGTTGACAAGAAGCAGATGCAACAACACAAGCAGGCACCAAAGGAGAAGAAGGAGAAGGCCCCAAAGGTCCAGCTTGTCCTCGCCAACCCAGAGTACGTCGTTGAGAGAATCAAGATTTGGGATGAGCTCAAGGCTAAGCATGATGCTGAGATTGCCAGTAAGTTGATCATGTTGTTGTTGTCGCGTGCATACTGAGACAGACTTACTAATGCTTGTTGTGTTGTAAAGACTTGCCCGATGTACCAATCAAGGTAACCATGCCAGACGGAAGTGTTCGTGACGCTTTGGCCGGTAAGACCACCCCATTGGCCATTGCCAAGTCGATCTCCAACAGTCTTGCCAACTCGATCGTGTCGTCCACCGTGAACGACCAGGTTTGGGACATTGCCAGACCACTCGAGAAGGACTGCAACCTCGTCCTGTGCAAGTTTGACACTGAGGCCGGAAAGAAGACCTTCTGGCATTCATCTGCTCACATCCTTGGTCAAGCCATGGAGAAGGTCTACGGTGGTCAACTCTGCATTGGACCAGCCACCAACGAAGGCTTCTACTACGATATGGCTATGACTGACAAGTAAGTTTTTCCCGTGTGTGGCTAATATGGACCAAGATACATGATTGCTCACATCATTCATCACTCAATCAATCAACTTCAACTCATTGTAAACAACAGGATTGTGTCATCTGATGACTTTGCAACCATTGTTGAGGTTGCCAACAAGATCATTCAGGAGAAGCAGCCATTCGAGAGATTGCATGTGCCACGTGACACTGCCCTCGAGCTGTTCAAGTACAACAAATACAAGAAGGAGATTATCTCCAAGATCCCCGCCGAGGACACCGTCTCTCTGTACCGTTGTGGCACCTTGGTCGACCTCTGCCGTGGCCCACACGTTCCCAACACTGGATACGTCAAGGCCTTCAACGTCGTCAAGAACTCCAGTGCCTACTGGCTCGGCAAGGCCGAGAACGACCCATTGCAGCGTGTCTACGGTATTGCCTTCCCCGACAAGAAGCAGATGGACGAGTACGAGAACTTCATGAAGGAGGCTGCCCTTCGCGACCACAGGAACGTCGGCAAGAACCAGGAGCTGTTCTTCTTCCACCCATTCAGCCCGGGCTGCGCCTTCTTCCTGCCACACGGCGCCAGGATCTACAACAAGTTGGTGGAGTTCATTCGCCAGGAGTATCACAGGAGAGGATTCACTGAGGTCATCACCCCGACCATGTTCTCGCAGCAGCTGTGGGAGAAGTCGGGTCATTGGGCCAAGTACAACGAGAACATGTTCAACCTCAAGTGCGACGATCAGAACTACTCTCTCAAGCCAATGAACTGCCCCAGCCATTGTCTGATGTTTGCCAACAGATCGCGCTCATACCGTGAGCTGCCCATCCGTTTCGCCGACTTTGGTGTGCTGCACAGAAACGAGCTGGCCGGCGCCCTCACCGGTCTCACCCGTGTGCGCAAGTTCCAGCAGGACGACGCCCACATCTTCTGTACCCAGGAGATGATCGAGTCGGAGATCAACAACTGTCTCATGTTCATGAACCACGTCTACGGTATCTTTGGCTTTGAGTTCACCCTCGAGCTGTCCACTCGCCCAGAGAACCATCTCGGCGAGGCTTCCCAGTGGGACATGGCTGAGAACCAGCTCCGTGACGCCCTCAACAAGTTTGGCAAGCCATGGAAGCTCAACCCAGGTGATGGCGCCTTCTACGGCCCCAAGATCGACATCCACATCACCGACGTGTTGAAGAGATCTCATCAGTGCGCCACTATCCAGCTGGACTTCCAGCTGCCAATCCGTTTCGAGCTCGAGTACATGGGCAGCGGACCAGAGGAGCGCCACCGTCCCGTCATCATCCATCGTGCCATCCTCGGCTCCGTGGAGAGAATGATGGCCATTCTCATCGAGCACACTGGTGGCAAGTGGCCATTCTGGCTGTCGCCACGCCAGGTGCTGGTGGCCACCGTCAGCGAGAAGTACATCGAGTACGGCCAGCAGGTGGCTGCGTCGCTCACCGACGCCGGCTTCTTCTGTGAGGTGGACGTCTCTGACAAGACCCTCCCCAAGAAGATCCGTGAGGCTCAGCTCGCTCAGTACAACTACATCCTTGTGGTTGGTGAGGAGGAGACCACCAACAAGACCGTCAATGTTCGCACCCGTGATAACGCCGTTCGTGGCTCTATCTCTGTTCAGGCTCTGATTGACGAGTTGAAGCAAGTCTCCAAGGAGTTCAAATAAACATGGCCGCCCAGCCCACCCCCCTTTCTCTCCCTTTCATTAACTCACTTATTAGTTGGCCTTATGCTGGCGTGGCGGGGATTGATTGAATGATTGATTAATTGATTGTTTGGCAATAGATTCGGCGAGGTTTGTTGTTCAAACCTTGTCAGATGCTGATCGTGCCATTTTTGGGCTACGGGTTCAAACGTGATTGGTCAGAGGGGTTGTTTTGATCATGGGTTGTTTGGGGGTGATTGGAGAGTGGGGCGGAATCAGAGATTAGTGTTTGGTCAATCCATTCACTCACACATTCATACACATAAACACACACTCACAATTATATATATATAAAGAGATACACGAAATTGTACATTTTACAACATACACACACACTATACACTCAATCAATCTTTAATATATATATATCTGGAGACCAGGTTCATTGTCAATCAACAACACACATACATTCAATCACACCCACTCAATCAATCAACACACACTCACGCTCTCTTTACTACCCTTACCTGTTATATACTTATAACCCACATTCATCCAATCCAATCCCAACCCATACACTTTACCTCGAGGTCATCTATCATCCAGACCGACTGACTGACTGACTGACTGACTGATTGACATACTTATAGACTGACTGACTGCCTGCTGCAATTCAAGTCAACAACTCTCACTTCACTCAATCAATCATTCATACTATCAATCAATCAATAACTCACCATTATAATAATAAGTTAAGTTAAGTTAATAATAATAACAACCGAATTGAAGAGAGAATATCTCAATCTCATAGTCACTCGAGTGTACAGTCAAGGCCTGATTGATCACACAACAATCGCACCTCCCCCCAACAACAACAACAACTACAACAACAGTCATACGCACAATATCCCCATTAACAACATTAACAATAGTTATAACAATAGTAACAACAACAACATGATCAAATCAAGAATACTAAATTGTATAAAGAGTGGAGGCAATGAGTTGGAGTTGAGCCAACTCAAGTTGAACAAGTTCCCGCCAGAGTTGAAGAAGCCTTTGTCAAAGTCACAACAGATGGTCATAAAGTCATTGGACTGCAGTGCGAATCAGCTTAATGATCTGCGATGGGACCTGTCGTCAGACTTTGACCAACTCGAATCACTCAATGTGGCCAGCAATCCATTGTCCTCAGTGCTGATGATCGGACTGCCTGGCGCAGGCTGGCTGCGCGCACTCTCACAGATCAACCTGTCCAAGTGTCGATTGACACGTCTTGGCGCACTCGATCTCCAACAGATGCCATGTCTGCGTCGCATCAATCTGTCCAGCAATGACATTGTCGAGATCAACGATCAGGCCTTCAACGGACTCGCGCAGCTCGAGGACTTGGACCTCAGCTTCAACCAGTCGCTTCTATCGCTGCCCTCCTCACTGTTCCATCACTGCGCGCAGAGCCTGTCAGTGCTCAACATGGCCGGATGTCAGTTGCAGAGCATGGCCAACATCGTCGTATTTGAGAAGCTTGGCGATCTGAACCTGTCGGGCAACTCGATCGATGAGATGCCCGAGTCGATTGGACGTCTCTCGCGACTGCACACACTGCACCTGGGCAACAACAAGATCAAGCACGTGCCACTATCGATCGGACACTGCTCGGCACTCAGGAGCATCGTCCTCACTGGCAATCCAATCGAAGACTACGAGACACTTGGAGCAATGACCGTTGGCAACGATAAGCTTGTGGCGTTCCTCATACAGCGCGCAGGCGGCGCCATTGGCCAGTCGCACAACAGCACATCACTCGAATATGGCGGCGCCAAGCACAGTCGCTCAACATCGCCACAGAACGTTGCGGTCGGAGGCTACATGGGCTCGGCCAACTCGTCGTCCTCTTCACCAGCCATCAACATCACGACCTCATCATCACCTCTGCCGATCACCCCACCACACTCCTCGTCGCCGTCTCCCTTCTCCCTCTCGCTGTCACAGTCGCCTGCACGACCTGGCATCGCCGCGTCATCGATGGCACCAGCGTCACCACATCTAACCGAGCTGGACGTGGCCAAAGAGAAGATATACGTGCTGATACGCTATGACCTCAAGGCCAACATCACGGCCATGTACGACAAGATCAACAAGGCGCCAAACATCGACGAGATGGTGCAGCTGGGCAAGATCGTGCGCACGACACAGGCCGACTCGGAGCGACTGGCCGCGCTGCTCTCCTACAAGAAGTTCCACTTCACGATGACGGTGAGCACGGCGTCGCTCGTCACGACCAATCCGCAGACACCCGACGAGAAGTTTATATATCTCAAGCAGTTGCTCAAGTCCAAGATCGAGATGATACTCGTCTACTCTCGATCCATTATTGATCATCTGGAAATCTGTAACAATATTAACGAAATCAACAACATACTGGAAATAATTCAATCCCTCACCAATAAGTATTCATGTCAAGTTCCTACTACCATTACTCCTTCTACCACTCCTGCTACTACTACTCAGCTGTTGCAACAACATGTTTAATATAATAATAATAAATAATTAATTGCCAGTCTTGTATCCCATTGAATCCCTTTTATCCATCTTTGAATGAAAGCAAACACACCACTTTGCATGAATCAATCACAATTCAATTCCAATCACTCACTCAAACATTGAATGAATGAATGAATGAAGGATAGATAACTAGGATCAACAACAACAACAACAACAACGTTATGGAATACTAATATAAGGATAGCAGTGCACTTAACATAAGTACTCAGAGACATGGCAAACGAAGAGAATCATCATAATAATATAGTCGACAACATTAATAGTAATAGTAATAGTAATAATAGTAATAGTAGTAGTAGTAGTAGTAACAATAGTAATAGCACCAATGGCAACACATTATATCAACCAAAGAGTATACTGATCACAGGTGGTGCAGGATTTATGTATGTTTAATCATTGATCGTATGATTGAATGAATGATGAACTGACGATTGATCATTACAGAGGATCACATCTAGCTGTACATCTATCACGATTGTATAGCACATATCACCTAGTCGTGCTGGATAAGCTCGACTACTGTTCAAACATACGTAATCTGAGTCAGGTCTCAAGTCACAAGTTCTACAGAGTAAGCTGCACTAGTTGACTCAAACATGATTGATTGATTGATTGACACAAATGTTGTTCCAACATAACAGGGAAACATATTGGACGCTGCATTATTAGATCGTATATTCACATCAGAGGCCATCGACACTGTTATACACCTGGCCGCTCATACTCATGTTGGTAAGGAGATCATCACATCATTGTTGACACAATCTTTGGTCTTGCACAGTGCTGACACTACATCCCTTCAATCATTCAATCAAAGACAACTCATTTCACAACTCAATCATATTCACTGAGAACAATGTACTGGGGACGCACTATCTGTTGGAGTGCGCTCGAAGACATTCTATTCAACGCTTCATCTATGTGAGCACGGACGAGGTATATGGCTCACCTGAACATCAACTTCGCAAGGGTTCAGTGGAGAACAAGAGCATGCTGTTGCCAACCAATCCCTATGCAGCGAGCAAGGCGGCAGCCGAGCATCTAGTTCAATCATACTACAAATCATTTAACCTCCCATCAATCATCACCCGTGGCAACAACGTCTACGGGCCGCATCAATACCCTGAGAAGATCATTCCAAAGTTCATCAACCTTCTGTTAGCCGGTGAACAATGGTAAGTCCATGCCAATTACAAATGGATGCATGTGATCACACTGACTGACTCATCGCCAATCATGGATAGTACAATACACGGTAATGGACAGAACATGCGAAGCTTCTTACATGTGGACGACGTAGTTAGAGCATTCGATGTGGTACTGCACAAGGGAAGGGTGGGCGAGACGTACAACATTGGCACAGAGTTTGAGATATCCAACATCGACGTGGCCAAGACTCTGGTCGAGCTGATCACTGCTGGCGACACATCCCAACAACAACTACACAAATACTTGTCGTTTGTGCCCGACCGTCCATTCAACGATCAGAGCTACTTCCTCAACAGCAACAAGGTCAGACAGCTGGGGTGGTGTCAGCAGGTGGCCTGGCGCGAAGGTCTTCAGCGAACAGTCCAGTGGTACAAAGACAACGAGCACTATTGGGATCAAGCCAGCGATGACAACGACAGAGAATCGCAACAACGAGTTTGACGATCATCGTACATGTATATATTACAAGTGAAGTGCTCGCGACAATAATGTTCAGTTAAGTAAAGTCATTGAACATCACATGTGATGCCCATCGCCAAACATTGATGATATTGCTGCTGGATGATGGATGATGATGTATGATGATTGCTACTGCTGTTACTGTTTATTCCTCTGGCTCCTCATCGCTGTCATAGTCCTTGTCGTACTTCTCATCGTCCTCATCATCGTCATCATCGTCAAAGCCCTCGACGATGGGCTCCAACTCTGCTTTGATCTGTGGATCCTTGGCCAGGTCGGTGGGCCTCTCGCCATCTCTGTTTCTGATATCTACATTGGCCTTGCCGAGGTTGACCAGCACCTTGATGCAAGGCAGACGTGCACGTCCGGCGGCTTTGTGGAGTGGGGTGTCGCCCACCTTGTTCTGACAGTTGACGTTGGCGCCCACCTTGATGAGGATCTCAATGACGTCGGCGTGGCCGGCTGTGGCGGCGTAGTGCAGCGCCGTGTTGCCCAGATGGTCGGGTGTGTCCAGTGGCACTGACTTCAACTTGACCAGCTGTGCAATATCTTCGCAGTTGCCACTTCTGGCACTTGAGAACCAGGCATCGGTGAATGACATGCCAGAGTCATTGGCATCGTTGCCATTGTTATTGTTTGTATCAGACATCATGTGTATATGTATGTCTTTATATATATAAATATGTGTTTGATTGATTTAATGAATGAATGAATGAATTGAGTGAAGTGTTATTGATTGATTTTTGTTGTGTGATCAGAGTGAAGTTTGTCCAAAGGTCGTAATCAAAATGTTTGAATCAAATTAATTTTGCATCCTTTTTATGTGAATTTGATTGATTCTTCAAAGGGTCTATTCAAACCCATTTAATACTGTCTAGTTATTACTTGTTCCAAACAGATAACGATGAATACAAATACATAAATTAAGTTTGAAAGTATGAAGGAAGAAGTGTTTGGTCGACCCACAAACATAAAACAACACAATCAAACATTAGGATGAAGTTAACTATGTGAACCAAACATTGAAGTCTGGATGCCTCCAAGTGACATTCATACTAACAAACTTATTAATTGAATAATAGAGATTACCGCCTTATTATCACTTTGTGGTGGAAACGATCACAGTAATAAGAAGGCCTTCGATATTATAATATAGGTCCTTATTTGCCTTGGGGACCACCACTAACCTATCACATAATCAGGTGATCACACACATTGATCAATGTGGTGTGTTTGAGTGTGTGTGGATATAATTAGCAAGGTGTGGGTCCAAACAAGGTGTGTAGTTACCACACACACATAGACACAATCAATCGATTATTGATTGGTCACATGATGTTGTCGGTTTGGTTTCCAAGCTCATCGAGTAAGTGTGGTGTGTTTAATTGATATAATCAATCAAATGATGTTGATTTATAGTGGATGATGGTGATGGCACATGATGCGTGACCATTGGATTGGATTGGCTTGGCTCTGAATGATGTTCAGGTGATTACCTCCTCAATCTTAGTAACACACATTACAATGTAGTGTAGTAGTACTACCTACCTTCACCAACACTAACATCAAGAATCAACATCAACATCAATCAATCAATCCTTATCGACCCACCCGACACACATACACACATTAGTGGATTGTAAGTAATAATGATGATTATTATTATTATTATTATTATTATTCAATATTATTTGGATGTGTAATATTACCAATTTAACTTTATACACCATTGGTATGGTCCATCATCAAACTTAAATAACAACCACATATATTCTCACTTCCACCATCATCGCCATCTACATCATCCATCCATCCATCAATCCATCCAATTCATTAAGTCAATATTGGTTGGACGAACATCTGTTCTGCGTATTTAATATTATTGAGTTGTGTTGTGTTGCGATTGATTGAGTGAGTTGGATATCTGTCAAACACTCACTCTACCCTACCTACCTTCTATCTCCACTCTTTGTTCATCATCACATCATACATCCACCATCTTAAGGTTTCGAGACGATACCAATCAATCAATCAATCAACTGACATCACATAATATTAATTATTTATTTATTAGTTTGGATTAATTAGTTGGAATACATTATAATAATAATGGAAGTTGAAATACCTGGACATCACTCCAACTCTGGAAACAATAATAATAATATAGTTGGAGTCAATCAAACTCAACGCGACCCAAACACATCAGCAACAGCAACACAGTTTGAATTCAACTTGAATTGTAGACAAGCTGGCGACAAGAAAATAGATAGCGAACAGGTCGAGGATCGTGGTGTGCGACTTCAACAAAGTCTAGATCTTGACACATATTCCCCATTTGTTGGTGGCATCGACAAGAACAAGGATAAGAGCAAGAATAATAGCAAGATCACAGCAGCAGCACAGGATGTAGATGAAGAAGAAGAGATACTTGAGGAGGAAGAGGAAGAACTACAGTATGGCGGAGCATCGACTGATGAGGACGATATGATGTTAGAGATGGAGACGGCTACAACAACTAGTAGCTCGATTGATATTAGTATTACAAAGGTCAGCTATTGTAATCAATTGTTGCATCATCTCGACAGGAACAGCTTCTTGGAGTATGATATCAAACGTATAACTTCATTGATACTCGATGGTAATCTACTCGGTGAGATACCGTTGGTCATTAGCGAGTTGGCGCAGCTCGAGACGTTGTCCATGCAGAACAACTACATCCTGCACATCCCCACGTGGCTGCCGCCCGCGCTGCCCGCGCTGCGCAGCCTCGACCTGGCGCACAACACCATCGACATGATCCCCGACGACCTCGCGCACATGGTCCACCTCGAGCGACTGAACCTCGCGCACAACATACTCTACCATGTGCCGCCCGACTGCATCCCGCCCAATCTGTTGACGCTCGACCTGTCCAACAACAAGCTGTCAACTATCCGTTTGCCAGCATTTGAGAGTCTGTACACGTTGAAGTTGGCCAACAATCGATTGCGATCAATCGATAACCTGCCCTACCACATCTCGACGATCGCGCTCGACAATAACTACTTGGAGTCGATCGATCACAAGGTGATCATACGCAACCGCTACCTGTCCATGTCGATGCACAACGCCTTCTGTGATCACGCTACCGGACGAATCTACCGATGCCTGTACACAAAGGAGCCGACGCTGGACCTGTCTGGGCTGGGAATCAAGGCGGTGCCCGAGGCGATCGGCACGCTAACACACCTGACCTCGCTGGACCTGTCACGCAACATGCTTACCCAACTTCCCAGCGAGCTCGAGCACCTCACCAAGCTGGTGCGACTGGACCTGTCATACAACATCATTCAGACTCTGCCACTCTCGCTGACTAGCTTCCGCGACCTCGTCTACCTGGGCCTGCACGGCACGCTCGAGTACTTGCAGAACCCTCCGCGCAAGGTAGCCGAGGGTGGCCTGCAAGAGATCCTACGCTACTTTGAGGACCTGCTCATGGGCGACTCAATCTCTTATCGCGTCAAGTTGATGTTGGTGGGCCAGGAAAACGTGGGCAAGACATCGCTGCTCAAGTGTCTCAAGATGAAGAAGAAGAAGACGTCCAAGAATGCCGAGCATCTTGGCAACAATGTGTCCACCGATGGCATCGACATTGAGGAGATCAAGATGGCCATCGATGTCACGGCCGTGCCACCAAGCTCGGCCTCGTCCAACAACCTCGCGTCAGAGTCATCATCGACACATCATCAACAGGGACAAAAGAGCACAAGTAGTATTGGCGGACCCAACACAAGCAGCAGTGAGGTTAGCAACGGGTCGAGCAGCAGCAACAATGTGTCTGGTGCGACAACAACAGCAGGCAGTGATGGCGTGGGTCTGTCGGCATCACAGCAACAGCAGCAGCATCAGCAACAGCAACAGATACTGGCACAAGCCAACACGAGCAGTGGCAACCTCACCACATCAGTCCAGAAGGTGTCGATATCCGTCTGGGACTGTGCCGGCCAGGAGTTATATTATACAACACATCAGATGTTCCTGACGGACACGGCACTGTACACTGTCGTATGGGATCTCAGTCGGCCAGAGGTCAACAGCAAGGTAGAGTTCTGGCTACACTCCATTCGAAGTAGAGCAGAGGACGCTCCAATCATCCTTGTTGGCACACATCTCGATGAGTTCCTCCAGACGCACACCGAGGGCGAGCTGGACCTCATCATGAACAACGTCTATGCCAAGTATTATAGGAAGTTTAGGCTAAGAGTATGTACCCTCCGGAACTAATCCAGACACATACACATACTCATTCTCATTTCTCAATCAATCAATCAACCAATCAATCAAACAGGGGTTCTGTGTAATGAGTTGTACGACACTTTTTGGACTGGACAGATACAAGGAGTTGTTGAAGAAGACGATCAATGACATGCCAACACTGAAACAACGAATACCAGACATCTACGTCAGACTGGAACGACTCATCCTCAAGAAGAGGACTCAACTGACTACCCCTGTCCTGACTTGGGCAAAGTATGTCTAATGCATCCCACCCTACCCTTATGATCACCCTTATTAACTTGAACTTTACTTCATATTAGCTATGTACAGATGGTATTATCTTCATTGGACTTCCATGATGAGATACATATCAAGGTTGCGACAAAGACCTTGTCATCATTGGGTATCATCTCATACTTTGATGATATTGGACGTGGAAACTCAGACAACTATGTATTCCTGGATCCTCAATGGTTGACCAATGTATTCTCATCGATCATAACAACCAAGCATAAGTTCATCAAAGATGGTATTCTAAAGAAGAGGTATGTTTGAGATAATCTCAATCACTCACTTGATCAATCAGTCATACTCATTCAATCAATCAATCAAGTGATCTTGTTCAGATTTGGCGATCACCTGATTTCTTGGAGGATGCATCATTCCATGATTTGTTGATTAGCTTGTTGGAGAGATTCGAATTGATGTTCCCGTTGGAGACTGATATTGCACTCAGCAATAACTACTCATCGACGACAACGACAACAGGTATCAACTCATCGCCAACACCAAAGTTGACATCCGATCATCAACAAGGCTCATCATCATCGATTTTGGGATCACCATCGGCAAGCAATCAATCAAGCCCATTGGTTGGAAAGAAGAAGGATGGCACTGTAGTATCATCATCACCTAGCGGAGATGCTGGTACAAGAGCCAGCGCCATTGCTTCACCCCTGAACCTCTCACGAAAGTTCACCGACCAGAGCAACTCGGCATCGTCACTATCACACCATTTGAAGAATCGAACAGACTCGTCCGACCAGACAACATGCGCATCCTCATCGGTCACCTCACCCAAGCAGCAGGCACCTCAGCCACTCAATCGCCATACTAGTTCCGCCAACCTCCTCGCGACGGTGGCCGCCAACAACAATATCTCCAACTCTAACCTTTCAAACTTGGGCAAGCGATACATCGTCCCCTCGCAACTTCCCGAGAAGAGGCCAGCCTTTGACATACTCTGGCCACCTCGCGACCAATGTCGTATCGAGTTCAATCGTTGGTTCAAACTAGTTTTCAATCCAGTTGGTCTTTTCAGTCGAGTGCTCATCCATCTGATCATGTCCAAGGAGTTTGTCATGCGCCCATCCCTATACTGGCGCAATGGCATTGTCGTGGAGGCATCCAGTACTGCCCATGGCGGTTTGTCTGCCCTGGCATTGGTCGAACTGAGCGTAGCGACCAACACCATCATGATATCCGTGCGCAGCGATCGCAAGGCCAAAGGAATAGCGGCCAAACTTCTCCGTCTGATCGTTGAGATCGTCGAAGGATTGACCTCGAGCTGGTACTCATTGGACGTGTCACAGGTGATCCCATGCCCGCACTGCATCCAGAAGGAGTGCAAGGAGCTGACACTGTTCACTCTTCACGAGTGTGAGGTTGCCGCCTCCAACAGCGAGTGGTACCTCATGTGTGGACAACGCAAGATCACACTGGATAGCTTTGTACCTGATGTGGCGCTGGTCGACTTCTGGGGCACCGGCTCCAAGAAGTTCCGCTTCGAACAAATCAAGTTTGAGCTCGAGAACCGGGTGATCAGTGTAAAGCCAACTGAGAATAACCCAGGTGTCTACCATGCCATGCTCCTCCCCAACACCTTGCAACACGGTAAACAATCACTCAAGTCATCGGTGGCCGGTGGTGATTCCCATCCCTCAATCGACTTCCCCATCATCAACAAGCTGGCGGTGGTCGAGCCTGCCACGACCATGTCCACAGCCGCACAGAGCGAGGCCCAAGATGCAGCAGCCTCCTTGGACACAGTTCAAGTGCACTTCAATCAGATGCAACAGCAATTGATTGTAAGTGGATCTATTGAGCGTGGAGCAATTATCAATCGAGAGATAGTCGTTCCCAAGCTCATTGGCAAGGGCGCCAGTGGCAAGATATACCGCGCCGACATCAATGGTTTGACGGTGGCCGTCAAGCAGCTCGACAGCTTTGGAGAAGATGCACCGAGGATCTTCTCCGAGTTCAGGAAGGAGATACATGTAATGAGTGACCTCAAGCACAAGAATGTCGTCAACTTGCTTGGATTCACAACGCAGCCATTCACAATGGTTATGGAGTACATCGATGCGGGAGATCTCTACCGGTTCCTTCACAGCCCACAGGGTGACATACTCGATGACAACTGGCCACTACGCATTGGTTTGGCATTAGACATTGCCAGGGGCATGAACTTCTTGCACTCAGTCACACCTCCTTTGCTCCATCGTGACCTCAAGTCGCCCAACATCTTGCTCACCCGCAGGGACGGCAAGCTCCGCGCCAAGGTCGGCGACTTTGGACTGAGCTCAAGGATGTTCATTCAGGCGCTCAAGCACAAGTTGAGGAACTTCCCCGTCGGTAACATCACATGGGTCGCACCAGAGATTCTTCGCGAAGAGGAGTACACTGTCAAGTCAGATGTATACGCCTTTGGTCTGATCATGCACGAGCTGATGACGCGCCAACATCCATTCAAGGACTACAACTTCACAATGGTTTCGTTACTAGAGGCCGAGATCAAGAAGGGAGTGCGACCTTCAGTTGCACAATCATTCACGCAATCATTCATTGGTCATGACTACTGCGCTTTGATGCGTGATTGTTGGGACGGTCAGCCCGAGCGACGTCCATCATTCGGCAAGATCTGCAGCCGTCTCACCCAGATGCTCCAACGAGAGAACCAGGCCACCGCCGAAGTCCTGTCACCAACCTCAGATCAGACCTCACTAGAAGGTTCCCCTGCCTCCTTGTCCATGTCGGCCAAGCTTGCAGGTAAAGACACAGCGGCAGGTTTGCTGGCGGGCCAGAACACAGCCTTCCCCAGGCTCTCTATATCCGTCGATCACAACAACATTGGCCAACAGATGTCAGCTTGTGGACAACTCCAGATGACCATGAGAGTGCAACCACTGGACCTCAAGGTCACCTCACTTCTCTGGGAGAACAAGAGAGTGTGGGGCGCCACCAACCAGGGAACCATCATCATATGGAATGCTGAGAATGGTCGAAAGATATTGCATGAAACCAGCATGCACACAAGTCCAATACACACGATGCTACAGGTGGACGATGAGAACATATGGACTGCAGGCGAAGACGGATTCATCAAGATATGGAACGCCTGGCGACTAAATTGCGATGACAACTTCACTCAATTCAAGGCGGACCATCTCAACAAGAAGTCCCGCGGAGGTACCACATTTAGCCGCAAAGGTTATGCTCAGCGCTGGTTTGTTCTTGACCGCAGAACAAGACTCTGTCATACTCCAAGAAGCAGAGCTCCAAGCCCAAATGCACATTTATGCTGCACGGCGCCACACTTGAGGAGTCTGGAGGCCCTGAGCTAAAGGTTGCAATCCAGTTCACACAGCCCGAGAAGCGCAAGCTGGAGATTGAGTTCAAGAACGAGGGCGAGATGGAGCAGTGGGTGGATGCCCTGGCACGCATCGTCAACCAGAACGTTCCCGTCAATCTGATCCCTCTGAGCTATGACTGCATCATCAAGAGCTGGTCTCTGCCCAAGGAGTCAGCCAAGCTTGTGCCAACAGTAGCCAAGATGGTGCTTGTGACCAACCATCTCTCAGATCACCAGTTCGTGTGGGTAGCCTACCGCAACTTGGCCATCCTCTCTGTTTTTGACGCCAAGACCCGCCAGCTGGTGGAGACCATACGCCTCAACGAGATGCGCCCCGACTGGATGGGAACGGACAACATGATCGTGCACAACAACCTTGTGTGGCTTACCTACAACAACCTGGTGTGCCATGTCGATCCCAACACATGCCAGACACTGATGGCGCACCGCGCGCACAACCAGAGGATCTTATCCATTGCCGGCGTTGACAAGAATGTATGGCTCACATGCAAGGACGGCAGCGCCAGCATATGGGACGGCACTACAGGCATCCTTAACATGCACATACAGTTGCCGGCTGTCGCCACCAAAGTTCTACTGTTTGGTGGCAACGTATGGGTGTGCACGATGGGCATGATCTACGTGTATGATCCCAACAACTTTACGCTCAAGGATCAGGTGGAGTGTTCGCAACATGTCAACAGCATCGTCGACATTGTCAAGGTGTTCCAACATACTGTGTGGTCCTGTTGCGGATCCAACAATGTCTGCATTTGGTCATAATATAACCATGAATGAGTACACAGAGGACAGACGACTGTCCATCCATCCATCTATCCATCACATGTAATAAATCCAATCCAATCCAACTATCCAACAATCCAATCATTCATTCATCACTGTCATTGTCAATGATTTATTCGATCCACTTATTATTGTCTCCTGTCCATTGGCAGAGCTGATGCTGTCGTTGACTTTGTGCCTGCGTTGCTGTTGGCCTGCAATGACTGGATCTTTGACATGAATGGAGGGGTAACATTGTACTTGTAAGAGATAGCGTAGAGTACTGAGAAAATGAACCATCCTGTCAGCATAATGATCAAAGGTACAAAGCGTGCTACATTGTGCGACAGAGCCACCAGTGAGCTGATTGTAGATATACAACAGAATGAAAAGAATACTGTCCTCATACTATTATTAATCAAAGAGTTAGTTACTTGTATCAATCTGATCGATCAAAACAATCAATCACATACCGATTAATCCAGGACACTGTACATGGCCAGAAGTAAATGTTGATGAAAAGGAAGATGATGTCGACGGCTAGAACAACCAGAAGGTATGCTGTCTCGTATTGAGTCGCGAATACTAAAATGGTAGAGTGTCAATGATCTGATTTGCCAAGTATGTGACGCTGGATACTACTTACTGGCCATTGCTGCAAGTATGATCTTGCCCTGAATGAAGATGAATACAATCTTTGGTTTGAATTTGATGTCGGATATGTTCTGTGTCTGAGCTTGAGCGAATGAGGCGGCTGGATAATATACAATCAATGCGACCATTGAACAGACGATAAAGACGATGTGCACTCCCTTTAGACATGACTCGATTGAGGGGTCAGAGTCCCACTTGACCGAACCATCCTTGAATGTACAATCCACGCCTCCAAACATCGTTGAGATCACAGGTATATACAACGTATTGACAAGGAACCAAAGTACTGAGTAAATCTTTTGTTGATACTTTGACATCCAATCACTTGTATCATTCTCGCCACTAGTTGTACATTATTTGGTTAGTCAATCAGTCAGCCAGGTCACATGATTGAAGAGTGTGCGGACATACTATTTGATTGTGTAGTATCGCAGGAAGAGACGTATACTGATGATGAAGATGTAGGGAGTGAAGGCAGTTACAAACATCACCCAGTACATTACTCTGAATACACTGCCAGGGTTCCAGGGGATGGCCAAGTAGTTGAGCCTCTGCAATGGCTCTGAACCAAGAAACTGTGAACGTTGATTGAATGAGAATGAGAACACTTGAATGAACTCAATCAGAATACCAATGAATGCAATCACATTTGAGAAGTTAAACGTTAAGTCGTTTCCAGTCGGGTCCTAAATAGTATTATATGTTAGTCATCTATTCATTCAATCATTCTTTGTGAATATCTTACCTCCCATGCATGTGTCTCTCCACCTAGATAGTAGACTGACCAGAGACAAGCGAGAAGAGAGAAGACAAAGGCGCCAAAGAGTACACGGAAGAGGATGCCATCGTTGAAGGTGTCCATGTGGGGCAGGAGGGCAGCAGGCACAGTGACGAGTACCAGTCCCATTAGAATAGCCACGGCCAAGAATATGATACCGAATCTTTGAAAAGGTTTCCTACTCGTCTTGTTTGCATCGTTGCTTCCATATGTCTCTACATCACTATCATCATCGAATAATATATTTCCATTACTGCCACCCATATTACCATTATTATTTGTTATATTGTTATTATTATTATTAGGATCTGTTGATGACGACGACGATGGTGCCGTCGTTGTTGAAGATGACCGTTCACGATCTGAATGTGATTTGTTGGTCATTTTTGTTGTTGTTCAGGGCAACTCTGCCTTAAACTATTATTATTATTATTACTATTATTACTATTTATACAACAATGAATCTAGCTAGAACTTGTATTGTGATATATACATTTCACAATTGAATCTGACCTCTGCCTTATCTTGAATGATTTATCGTGTTTGTGTGTGTTTGTGTGTTTGAATGAATGAATGAATGAATGAATGAATGAATGATAGACAGAGGGAGTGAGTTCAAGAAGGGGGTCAGTCAGTCTGTCAGGTGATGATCTAACTTGAATTGACCAACCAACAAGTGGGGAGTTGGAGTTGTGTTTGAAACAGTGTTAACAATAATTATAAATATAAACTGTTTTTCAAGCTCAAAACCAATCCCAATGATAAAAATTGGTCCTAAAAACACAACAATTATTTATTAGATAGTGCTATCTGTTTAGTCGAGAGATCAAACAAACAAACAATCAAAGAAACAAACAATCATGGGTATAGCAGAGAAGATCAAGGATATAGAGGCCGAGATGGCTCGTACACAAAAGAATAAGGCAACTGAGCATCATCTTGGTATGCTCAAGGCAAAGCTTGCTCGTCTAAGAGCACAGCTGCTTGAGCCTCCCAAGGGTTCTGCCAAGACTGGTGAGGGTTTCGAAGTTCTAAAGTCTGGTGATGCTAGAGTAGCTCTCATTGGGTATGTGTGTCTTAATCATTCACTCAATCAATCAATCATTCAATCAATCACTTACTCGATCATTCAATCAATCTGATCAATCGATATAGTTTCCCATCTGTGGGCAAGAGTACAATCTTGACCAAGCTGACATCGACTCAGTCAGCTCAAGCAGACTATGAGTTCACAACACTCACATGTATTCCTGGTGTCATTCAGTACCATGGTGCAAGGATCCAATTGCTCGATACACCAGGTATCATTGAAGGTGCTGCACAAGGACGTGGAAGAGGCAAACAAGTCATCTCAGTAGCAAGAACTGCTGTATGTTTAGTTATCAATCAATATCAATCACTCAATCAACTGATCAATCACTAACAATCAATGTTCAAATCTACATAGGACTTGATTCTTATGATGCTCGATTCAACAAAGGGAGAGATTCAGAAGAGATTGCTCGAGGCAGAGTTGGAGGCCATTGGTATTAGACTCAACTCTCAGCCACCAAACATCTACTTCAAGCAAAAGACTGCTGGAGGTGTCAACTTCACCGCCACAATCCCACTGACCAAAGTAACAGAGAAGCTAGTCAAGTCAATCTTACATGAATACAAGGTATATATATATATGTTTGCTACATTCAATCAGTCAATCAATTATTCAATCAAACGACTAACATTCACTCCCTCAATCACTCAATAGATATTCCACTGTGACTTGGTTGTTAGATGCGATCCAACTGTTGATGAGATTATTGATGCGATTGAAGGACGTAGATCATACATTAGATGCCTTTACGTGTATAACAAGGTGGATCAACTTTCAATTGAGGATATGGATAGACTGGCTCGTCTGCCAAACTCTGTAGTCATCAGTTGCAACCTTGATCTGAATTTGGACTATCTGCTCGACAAGATCTGGGAGTACCTGAGCCTGTTGAGAGTGTACACAAAGAAGAGAGGAGGCAAGTATATTCCAAACCATACACACTTCCACATGTACATGTACATGGACTAACCTTCAAACTATTACAACAACAACAGAGGCACCTGACTTTAATGATGCAGTTATCCTTCGTTCTGGAGCCACTATGGAGCATGTTTGTGCGTATCTTCACAAAGAGTTGGCCAACCAATTCAAGTATGGACTGGTCTGGGGTGTGTCAGCCAAGCATTGTCCACAGCGTGTTGGACTTGCTCATCCACTCGAAGATGAGGATGTTATCCAAATCGTTAAGAAATAATAAACAACCATATGATCATTATTAAAAGGTGATTGATCAATCAGATAACGACACGCCTCAAGGAAGCCGTGTGTTCTGAAATCGAAGCCAAAATAGGCAAAGAAGGTGTGGGGTTCAAACTTGTTCAAGTTCATCTCAGCTCAAACATTAGAGGTGAGCTCATGTTGCGAATCTAAGACAGCAAAATCATTCATTCATTCATTCATAATCATTAGTTTTATTGTTTCATCATATCCCTAGATATACAGAATATCATAAGTACAGTTCAGTATACTCACTCACTCATTGACAGCAAACAAACAAACAATAAGGTTAATGATATCCATTCCCTCGAACCTATCCTCCTCCTCCTCCTCACTCACACACAACTTTGGACCCAACTCTGCCATCTTCCTATCTCCCTCAAAGAACCGTCTGCAACAACAACAACAACAACAACATCTCCAACATCTATTACAATAATCATAATAATAATCATTTCTAAATGAACAAAGAAACAACGACGATGATTGGCAACTTTAAACTCCCACCAAGATGGCATTATGAAGGCAGAGATGGAGCATGTTGTGACAACAGCTGTGATAAACAAGAGATTGACAATGAAATGAAAGGTCCCAATGATATCAGCAACTGGGTCCTCAAAGGCAAGATCATGACTGGCGAGTACCCAGCCAAAGACAATCAAGATGATCACCAAAAACTTCTCAGCTCTTTACTCGATGCTAGTAAGTAGACATGATTGATTGGATCACCATACACGTGAACATGATCTGACAAATAACGATTCATATCACTAGACATCACTCTGTTTGTATGTTTACAGCTTGAAACTGAGCTGGAAAACTTCAAGCCTTACAAGCAGGACCTGATTGATATGGCCAATGAGAGGAATCTTAAGATTGAGTTCTTGCACTTCCCCATCGAGGACGGCGGTGTCGCCGCAAGCATCGAGGAGCTGGCCGACTTTATCGATCTGTTGCTGAACAAGCTGAAAGACCACAACGTCTATCTGCACTGCTGGGCCGGACGAGGCCGCACTGGAATCATTGCTGCCTGTCTCCTCGGCAGACTGTACCAGATCTCTGGCTTGGAGGCATGTCGGAGGATTCAAGAGTGCTACGAGCAGAGAGTTATCGGCTTTGGCGAGTCTCCAGAGTACCATCCACAGAAGATGCAAGTGATCAACTATCTAAAGTATATAAAGCAGAGAGATGAGCAGCAGCAGAAACAGCAGCTGAGTAAGTAATACACATTAAAATATTCAAATTTACTTTATTATACATCAATGTCAACGTTATAACTTCCGGTCAACATAATGTTAATATATTTGACATAAGGGCATTGGCGCCAATCAATCCATTGATGAGTGAAGGACAGCTGATGCGTACCAACAACATTGATTAACACGTGTTAGCTGGCCTCATGTGGTAGTGTGTGGGAGAGAGGTGAGTGTGTTCCATCTGACTTCAATCAGACCTCTACAGTTGTTAAATATGAGAGCTTAGGGTAACTTGCATGTTCACATTGTTGTCATTCAACCAATCTCCATTCATTTCCAGAGAATACAAATATAATATTAATAATATTTTATCCATCCTACTTATTATCCATTTATTCAGTTAGTCATAAAGATGTTAATGATTGTTAGATTAATCCTAGCCTGTTTCTCATCTTTGTTCACCTTGGTAGTATCATACCTTACTTTACATTCTATATCATTCGTTGCCAATAGGATAGAACAGGTAGGTAGTTTGTAAACAAACTAGATATAAAGGTTTGGGCAAAGGCATAAATCAACTAACAAACTCAAACAACTCCATAAGATACCAATACCAAAGGATCATGCCCTTAACTTTGTGAAGCCAATGTTCTCTGTGTTTGCCTCCACTATCAACTCGACACATGTCTTCCTATTCGCCGTGTTGCTAGGAATGATGTGTCTTCATCAATCATCAAAGAGATAAACTAGACTATTATTGCAATAGAGATATATTGTAACACAATGGTGAAGGTTGGATTGTTTATTACTGTGATGATTGGATTGGATTGATTGTTATAAATATATAATATATTATAGTTGTTGTTGTTGTTGATGTTGGTTGTTATAAATAAGTCTATTCCACTTGGAATTGTACATATGTAGAGTATAGGGAATGGGATGGTCAATCCATCATCAGTGCGTCCGAACCCCTGGATGCTAATCTAGGGTTGGCTGATGAGTTGGAAGGTGTTGACAGTGAAAGCAGCGTTTGAGAGCATGTGAGGCGCATGTATGTTAACTTCGGCTGCTGCTAGAAATGAAAGATGTTGGCAGTGTGTGGGCGGTTGAGTGTCGAGGTAATTGACGACGCTCCATTACGTGGAGACGCCATCAAGTGATTGCCTTTGTTGTGGACGTTGACGTTGGTGGCGTTGTTGTACGGATCAATGATAGAGCTGCGAGGTGGCGAGGAGGAGGGAACGGGAAGACCGCGGTAGTTTTGAAGCAAGGCAGACGAGTGAATAGAGGTTTGTTGCTGTTGCTGCTGCTGATGCTGCTGGGTCTGGCCAAATAATGAGGACTGAGGAGAACCAACAAACATCTGATGATGTTGTTGCTGCTGATGGGGATCGCGAAGATTATCGCGACCTAGTCCGAGTTGGATGTGGTGCTGTAGCTCCTGCCATTCGCTCTCATGTGAAATGGGATTGCTGTGAAGAGGTGGTGTAGTCGAGGGCGAGGCCAATGGAGACGGCGACGACGCCAACGAAGGGATATGGGCTTGATCCATGAATGTATGGAACGTGTGCTGTGGTTGTTGTTGTTGTTGCTGGTGCTGTTGCAGATGGTGATGTGGATGGCCAGGTGATGCAATCGCTGTCGTGGTGGTTTCCCACGGTGGAGAGACGGGAGGGAACAATGAGTGACCAAACTGAGAAAGAATCTGGTGCTGCTGCTGGTGCTGTTGCTTCTGTTGCTGTTGTTGCTGCTTCTCACGAGAGGAGGTGATGTGGCCACTGTTGACTCTGGTCGGGTGGACAAGCGGACCGACCGATTGCTGCTGTTGCTGAGGCTGGTGATGGACGTGATGGTTGTGATGTTGGTGATGTTGATGATGCTGGTTATTGTGATTGTGATGGTGATGATTGTGATGACTATGATGTTGTTGTTGATGTTGATGGTGTTGGCCTTTGGCCTTACTGAACACGTTGACACCACCAGTAGGTGGTTGTGAATACTCCTGTCCAACCGACTGTTGGGTCGACTGGAAGCTGTTGGAGCTTGGATGATGTTGTTGTTGATGATGATGATGTTGGAGTTGATGTTGTTTCTCTCGCGCCAAGCCGTAGACAGGGTAGCCAGCTGCCGGTGTCGTCTTGACATTGCTGCCAATGACACCGCTGTTGCTACCGATTGGAGGCAACACAGACTGTTGCTTCTGATACTCGGTACCAATGGGCGATTGTTTCATCGGTGAGACGACGACAACCGGTGCATTGGAGGACGAGAGGTAGTGTTGAGGGTGTTGATGTTGGTGCTGTGGCTGTGGCTGTTGCTGGTGATGCTGAGGATGCTGGTTCGAGGGATAGGATGTGTGCGTGCTGAACGGAGTCAATGCACCGATGCCCGTGAAGGCATCGGGCAATTGGTGTGAAGAGTGCAAAGCAGGAGATGTAGCCGTGGTACTACCAAGGACGTGTTGCTGCTGTTGCAGTTGTTGTTGATGCTGTTGAGGATGAATGTGATGCTGTTGCTGCTGAAGTGATGGCTGCTGGTACTGTGCAATGAAGGATGAGTGTGGCGAGTTGAATGGAGGATGGTTCTCCTGGTACCCAGTCTGAAGCATTCCATGATATCTCTGATTGGTTTGGTGCTGGCCAGTACTGTTGGCCTGGGCGAATCGCTGTGGAGGTATCTGAGTGTTGAGGGACTGATGGCTGAGCTCCTTCAGACTCTTGGAGGCAGAGATTGGCTGATCGAGGGGTTGTGGATGAGATGGACCACGAGAGTATCCACTCTTCTTGCTGCTGCTCATGCCCTTGTTGCTATTGTGGCTGTTGTTGCTACTAGTGTTGTTGTTGCTACCGCTGTTGTTAACATTGGTGGGGCTACTACTACTGCTGTTGTTACTGTTGTTACTGTTGGGCTTGGTGGACCAGGTGATCTTCTTCTTTGAGAAGGAGCAGTTGATCTTTAGACCCATGAACTCATTCTCGTTGAAAAAGTTGATGGCAGACTCACTGGCGGCCTCTCCCTTCATGCTGTCCTTGAAGTGAATGAACCCGAAACCCTCATACTCATCATTATCCTTCTTTGGAATGTTGTAATGATTGATCTTTCCAAAGTCCTTGCACTTTGTGAATATACTCTTGTGTAATCCAGGCTTGGCCTAATGTTTGATTGATCGAGTAAGTATGATTGATCAATGATATAAAGTGATCATTGTATGCAACTTACCTTTGCAGGATCAAAGGTGATGTGAATACTTGTCCTCTGGTCACAGGAGTCACTCCATCTGATCCGGATGGCTTTGGTTCCAATCATCTTGCCATGCATGGCAGTGAACGCTTCCTCGGCACATTGTCGTTCAGTGAAGCGAATGAAGGCGTAGTTACAAACGAATATACACTCCTTGTAATCAAGCTCACCAAACACTTTGAACATTTCCAACACCTGTCTCTGATCGACGTTCTGATCGAGATTGGTAACGTAGAGTGTTGTGATTGGAATTGCCCAATATGCTTTGAGCTCATGATTGAGGTATCCTACAATGAATAATGAGTGTAAGTGAATRWGATTGATTGAATGAGTGAGTAAAGGTATACATACTAGACTGATGTAGACTGTTCTTGGCTAAGGATGCTTCCTCCTTTGTCTTAAAGCTTGCAAAGCCATAGCCAACTGTCTTGCCACTCCTTTCATCAACCTTGAGTTTGCAGGAGACTGGATTATACTTGGACATGATGGCATTGAATTGTTCCTGAGTTCAACAAACATGTTAGTAAGTTTACTTATGATCACATGATCAATCGATCAATCAATCAATCAACACCTTGTACTTACAGGTGTTATATTCCTTGGTATATTGGCAATGAAGATGTTCAACTCACTTAGCTTGGTGAGCTTGTTCTCAGTGACTGCATGGCATAGCATGTGATGAAGGTGGAGTTAGCAACATTGTTGAGGTTTGATCACTCACTCCACTCAACTCAACTCTACTTACAGACTAGGAATTGATCGATTGAATGACTCTGTTGCTGATCATTGTTGATGAGGTTGTCCAACAGTTGAGAATCTGACAATGAGAGTGATGAGGACATTGACGTTGGTGAGGCTGTTGGTGAGGCTGATGGTGTCGTATGTGTACTGTCGCTGCTGCCATTGTCATTCATCATCTCTTGCTGATGTAATATATCATCGTCGTCATCATCTAGTTGTTGATGTTGATGATGATGATGATGATGATGATGTTGTTGTCTGTGTTGATCATCTAATACACCATGTGTATTGTTATTGTTGTTGTTATTGTTGTTATTATTGTTGTTATTATTGTTGATGACCAATGAGGCGAATGATGAATCGAGAATATCGATGCCGTTCATGAATGTTGATATAGATTGATTGGTAGCGAATGGTTCACTGCCGAGATATATTGCTTGCTTGTTGCTAATAAATACAATGTTGTTGTAGTTGAATGAATACGTAGAAGTAGAGGAGAGTATAAAGTTGCAACTAACAGACTGACTGAATGACTGTATGACTATGACACAACAATAACAATATAGTTATGGTAATGATTTAGTGAGTGTCGTTTAGTGACAGGTGATGTAGTTGCGTGTGAAATACAATGTTATTGATTGTTTGTTTGATTGATTGATGCTGCCTTCTGATGGTGTATCTAATCATTGGTCAGATGATATAGAGAGAGTAACTATGGTTGATTGATTGATTGAATGAATATAGTTGAGGTGGGGATTGGTGTTGGTTGGTTGATTGGTTGGATGTGGTGTGTTGTGTGAATGTGGTGTGATTGTGGTGCGAGGCAAGGGCGAGGCAAGGCAAGGCAAAGTAAAGAGTGACTTAGTGACTGATTGATTGAATGAATGACTGACTATTCAAATATAAATAGACTCTAATATTACTATTTCTACAACTACTACTAGATGAAGAAAGTGATTGATGGCGATGTAAGAGTGAGTGTGTGTGAATGTTGTTGATGGTTGTGATAACTGATTGTGGGAATGGAGTCAAGATCAATCAACACTGGCCTTTTTGGATACGTACGACCTTCCAAAAAAACAAACAAATAAAAAGCAATCGAGCAAGGATAAAAAGCAATCGTGACGAGTGAGCGTTGTTTGTTGTGTTGACAACAACACAATGTTTACAGTATTGGATAATCGTTTATTTGAATCCATCCATTTCCATTATGAACGATGATGGTGATGATCAGGATTGTTTAATCATATGATATTTTGATTGATTGATTGATTGATTATGTACAAGTAGGACATGTGATTCCATCCAAGTTGATGATGGTGTCCTACCTGAACCTTGAGAGGTTTATTCGCTCAAAGTTAAGTGTGTCCTCACCGAGTATATATGGATTGTTCTCGATTGTAGTGTACAGGTCTTGGATGGTGAGGCTGTGCTGCTGGTTGGAAGTGTTGGTCATTGCAGTGTCCACAACTGCAGTACCGAATATATTCTCTGGTATCTTATAAACTGGTACACTAAATGATAACAATGGATTCTTTGAGAGGAAGTAATTTGGATTGGTCAACTTGTTGTTGCTGTTGGTGCTGGTAACTGGTGGAGTGGATGTGGAAGGTGGAGTGGCTGATGATGTTGCCGTTGTTGTTGATGTAGATGTTGAAGTTGATGTTGTCGGCGTTTGTGATGTATTGTTGTTGTTGTTGGTGTCCACATCCATTGATTCACTGACAGGTTCATCATGGTCGCCACCACCACCGCCATTGCCATTGATGTTGTTTGTGTCCACATTGTCGCCACTGCCACTGCCATTGATGTTTGATTGTGGCGATGATGAATCATTGCTATGACCAAGACCATGACCATGACCATGAATCGACGATGATGAAGACTTGAGGGTAAGTTGTGATGTCGATGGTTTCCTGGATTTGATAGGAACGACTTGGTTGTTAGCCTCCATCTCGCCATAGTGATCGTATTGGTAGGCAAGATAGAATGGTGGCGGTGATTGATTGGCCGGAACAATGCTGGCTCCATCGGCATCTGTCAGTGCATCATCAGGCTGCCATTGATGCATTGGCAGACTGTTGTAAAGTATATCGCGAATGTGTTGCTCCAGTGCCATCATCATATAGATCACCGACTGTCTTGACACGCCAGACAGGCCAGACTCGCATGCGATAGTCTCCATTCGATCCTTGAGTGCCTGAATCTCGGGGCAGTACAGCAGCGAGTCTTGAAGTATGTACAGGTTAGTTAGGGAAGTCGTTCACTCGCTCGCTCATTCAGATTCAACTTACACTTTGGATGTATCCTCTTCTCACCTCGTCCCGCTCCACCAGACTGAGACAAGCTGAGAGATGAGGGGTTCTTGGGCCTCTTGGGCCTGCTGGGTTTCTTGGCGTTGGTCGGAGTCTTATCGGTGGACACTGATAGCTTGTCCTTCTTCTTGTCCTTGCCATCCTTTGATCTATTCTTGTTTTTATCCTTGCTGCTGCTACTGCTGCTGTTGCCGGCTGATGCGGCGTTTCCAGCTGTGGCGGCGGCCGACCCAGTTGATGCCGGTGCCGTTGTTGTCGGCGATTCGGGGACGACTGTCACTGGTATGGTCGATGGTGTAAATGTTGTTATCTTCTTCTTTGCGATTGCCTTTGGTGGTTCATGAGTAGGCGGTGAAGTCTTGGCGTAGAATGAGTTGAATATCAATGCTTTAAAGAATGCATTATGGAGGTGTACTGGAGGGTGATGTTAGTCAGTCACAACATTGATTGATTGATTGATTGATTGATTGA